CAGAGCCTGCCAAGGGCTCAGTGAGTCATACTGAGGAACCACAGAGTGTTTGGGTTAAAGCTCATCTCATTCCAGCCCCTGCCATTCCCACCCTCCACTGCATCAGGTTTCTTACAGCCATGTCCAACCTGGCCTGGGACACTTCCAGGGGTGGGGTGTCCCTGGGATGGAATGGTTATGAGGTGCTTGTTTTATTTTATTTGTTTTTTTTTTTTTTTTAATTTTTTATTTTGTGGTTTGGTTTTTTTTGTTGGTTTTTTTTTGGGTTTTTTTGGTTCTTTTTGCAAGAACTCTGATTTCCCCCTTGGCATGACTCTCCTGCCTTGTCCCTGCATGAATTCACAAGTCACGGCTGGGCTGCCCCAAACGTTCAGGTGCAGTTCCCGCAATAACACTTCCCCTTTGTCAGTGTGGTTTCAGAAATGTCTGCACCAGACTTTGCCTTAAATGCTCCCTCTGCTGGCTGTACTGCAAATTATTGTTTTTTAACTAAAAACCTCAGAGTGGAATTGAATGTGGTGAAATTACTACGTTAACAGGAAGAATTGCCTTTATTCCTTCACCACACCCCAAATCCCAGCTCTCAATGGCACTGAATGTACTGCACTTGTCCTGACACTAACACAGTGTTTGTGGGAGAGGGATTTTTCTATAACATTGATTATTACTGCTGATTTAGGTCTCTTAATATAAAATTTATCCTCTCCTTTAACAAATTTTGCCTCTCCTATACCCCTAGACTGTCTTATGATGGGAAATGTTGGGGTTTGAGATTCTACTTCAGAAATGAATAGTTGTTGTAAGTATACACTGTTCTCTACATTTTATAAAATCAGAAAAAGTAATTTAAAATATTGTTTCTGTAAAAGCAGCTTCAAAGTAGCCATTGCAGTGTTCCTTTTCTTGGTTTTATTTTGCCTGTGTTCCTGATGAATAGGTGATAAACACTTTAGAATGATGTAGAAAATAATTTGGAAAAAGTATTAGATTAGGCACAAATTTAATCTCATATTAATGATGTGCTGCCAGCTATTCAGATGACATTTATAAAAGAAGTAAATGCCATTGGCTTAGTGCCAGAAAAACTGGAAGTAAGAGCGAGGAGAAAAGGTGTGTCTCCCCTGAGAAGTAACAAAACAAAACATGGCCCAGCTCCAAAGAGTTTTCTAAGTGTGAGGCAAGGAGCAGAACCCAGGCAGGGGGGATGCAGGAGAAGGATTTTGGGATCCAGCTGTGTCAGGCACACCTGGATCAGGCACAGCCCCATGGGGCACTCGCTGCTGCTCCAGCTGAGGGTGGGAGGTGGGAAACAGGGCAGAGGGACAAGCAGGGGATGTGGTCAAAGCCTCCCTCAGCTGAGACAGGAACTGCCTTGCCTTGCCAAGCCCTGCACAGCCAGATGTTTTATGACATCTGAGAAAACATTGCTGTAAAAAAAAAAATGTTTTATGTGGCCCAGACTGTTTTTAATGCATTCAATTTCATGCAAGCAGAAGTATGACTCTTGCTAGCTTAAAAAATAGGGTTGTAAGTCTTTTGAAGCATTTTTCCCCCACCACTTTTTTTTTTTTTCATCAGAAGAAAGGCTTTGTATTCTGTGAAAGGCACAGGAACCTGCTGGACAAAATGGAAAACTCCCCACATTAGGATATTTCAAAAGCAATGCTGCAATGGTCAATAAATGAGAGAGCAGGAGGAGAAAATGGATTGCAGGTCAGAAAAAAAAGAATGTGAATGGAAGGCAGACAGGAATAGAAATGGAACCTGGAATTTTGCTGGCTAAACCAAATTTCAAACATACACATAACCTGTAGACACATAAAAATGTGTTTATACATCAGAATCGAGAATGTGAGCTCTGCTGTTTGTCTTGAAGAAGAACAACAGCATCAGTGCAGCTTTGTCCACTCTTCAGCACCAGCAGATGTGGTCACCATTAATCATCTGGCAGAAATGAAGTACAAGGAGGTGACCCTCACAGCCCACAGACACACAGAAGTCTCCTGCCTTGAAAACAATCAAAAATCAGACTGGAAATGCTCAGAAATACAAAACCAATGGTCCTGGGAAAAATAAAATAAATCACAGGTATATTTCACTTTATTTATTTGTTCTTCATTTTGATAGCACATCTCAAATTACACTTGGTAATGAGATCTTACAAATCTTTCCCCTGCTCTGGGACAAAAAGCAAAAACTACTCATGCATAAAGTATTGAATGCATTCACATCAAGTATGTTGTATGTTGGGCTTTTGAGCATCATAAATATGAGAACATTAAACCAACTGGTATTGGAATTTTTAACAATATCATTGTTACAGACAATAGCAGCTTAAAAGGTTTAACTCAAGTTTACCTGCTTCCAATATTTTTACTTTAAAAGTTTCTACTACAATTTGGTAAGAGATTAAAAAATATAGAGGCCCAAATACTACAAAATAATCTTTTAAAGATGAAGTATTTCTATTTAATTTGTAAGTGTTAAAGCTCACAATGGCTCTTCTGCTTTGACTGGGAATGCAGTTCTGAAATTATTTAGATGAAGTTATGAAATTCAACTTATTTGTGATTTTTATGCATCATGAAACCTCTTGAAAGAGGTTTGGGCTTCCAGAAATGTTGAACACCCATCCTTTAAGAGGTCCTCAGCCAAGGAGACAGAATCTCCATCTATTCCTGCAAATATCAGCCAAAATACAGGGAACTCACTAATATAGTTCTCAGGTCTATGAAAGCGGGATAAGAATGAGTATAGATTCTGTTATGCAAGTTGATTTTGCTTTTTTTTTTTTTTTTAAAGCTGTCTTCTGAATGCTTTGATAGCCATCAGGAACAAGATATTTTTGCAATAGAGGGATAAAGTCTAATTGTAGAAGGGAAAGAAAAGCTACCTACAAAAGCCTAGATCATGATAAGAAAACAAATTTATTGAACATCTTCTCTGAAAAGACTCTACCATGCACAGGTGAAATATTGCTACAAACACTTGCTCTGATCCTACATCATGTCCTAAACTGCTCTGTGAAATAACCAAGGGATGAAGGTGCAAGATGAACCCAAGGAAACACCTGGGGATGTACGAAAACACAGGAACAAATCCAGGTGTTGTAACATGGATTAATCTTAATCCCTTGCTACCAGGCATCTGCTTTCTGTAACCCTGAGTCAGTTCCTAGGAGTTTGTAGCAACACAGCTGGAAACAACCCTAAACTTTCAGTTTGGGACATGGGGACTGCGTGCAAAGGAGACCAAAGCACAGGAGGAGGAAAGCTGGGCTGGGACCAACTCAGTTCAAGGGTTACACTGAATTTAAAAAGACAGCTCTCTGTCTTTTTAGAGCTGGAACTCAGACATCTCTTTTTTGCATGTTGTAGGATCCCTCAGGTATCTCTGCAGCTCTCAGGTATTAAACCGCATGGCTGCAAGATCAAAGTAGTCCAGATGCTTTGTCAGAAGCAGTTACCAGTGTGCATCACACCCACGTGGTGCTGAGATCCCGGCCATCGCACCAGGCTGCTGACGGCTTCGTAAACACGCTCACTCCAGTTATAAACTTACTTATTTCTTGTGCCAAGACTTCAGTGTGCTTCAGTGCATGAAGGAAATTTACAACCCACTCCAGGAATATATATATATGCATGTATATATATTCCAGCTCTCCCTTTCAATTCAGTGAAAAAAAACAAACCAGCAGCAATTATATTTTAGATTCGTAAAAGATATGTATAACTTAGCTATAAACAAATGCTAAGCTAAAGCTTTGCAGAAAGCTCTCAGGAAAACGAAATATTATAAGATTTTTAGGAATATTAACCATTTTATTCCAGTACCACAGTTATACTATGATATATAATCATAGTATATCTACATATTATACTAATGACAGTGAGTAGATATAAATTTTATCTTTTCTGACATGGGTTTACTCTTGAAGCAGGGAATTCAGGAAGAAGCCTGTTATAACTCATTACAGTGATTTTTATTTTTTTTTAATTTTTTTTTTGTTTTTTTACTATTTTAAAAGTCATAGTTTAAAGTCAGGTAAATGTTGCTGTCTCCATGCAAAGGGAAAGGACTCTGGGGCAGACTAGTAACTTGTCTTTTGAACGGATATAACTTTAGTTGCTGTCTATTCAAAGAATACAATGTATGAATTTGTATTTATGGGGAAAAGGAGGAAAGGGTTTAAATCCAGATAAAAAGTTTTAATTCCTCTGCAGTGTTAATTGGGTTTCTTGATCAAAATTTATTCTGATTCAGATTGTCACTTGGCTGCTCTAATTCCACCAAGTCTTTGTAAATGCTAAATGGAAGAAGAATCTGGGCCACTGCTGAAAAAGCTTTGCTCTGTGATCTCCATGTGAACTATGCTGGGAATGAGTTTTGGCCTGCCTGACTGAGCTGACATCCAGGCCTTGCCTCGTTAATGGTTTTTCTTAATACACACAACCACGTTAAACCTGGTGTTTCCAGGAAGCAGTGATTCAGCAAAGCCATTCTCCTATTTAATTTAAATCCCAGTGAAAGGGGACTGCTCTGTATATATTTTAAATGTCAGAGGGCAGTTTGATCTACCAGAACCTGATGGGGTTTTTTGAAGAACTTTTCAGAATCCTGCTGGAAGGAATGCTTTAATGAAATAGCCTTTGTCATGATCTCCAAGGGCTAAGAGGCCTCACCTTAGGGTTCCTGAACCAGGACAGAGGGGAGCAAACTGCTCAGCAGGACCCAAGCCCAGCAGCATCCCTGATGTGGGACAGGCTGCTGTGGGCCAGCTCTTGGAGAAGGATGGAAAGCCAAAAGCCACAGGAGCTGCTGAGTGCCTGCAGTCACATTCCCATCCGTGTGCTACACCCACGCCTGAGAATTCAGCTTCACAGCTCTGTTGTGAGGTAGGAAATTACTGCCTCCCTTGCAGAAGTGGGGTGTAAGGAGAAGACCTTGTTCTCCTGGGGACCCACAGGAAGTCTGTGGGTAAAGATGAGGATTAATTTAATCTCCCACTGTCTCCTCTGTTCCTATGGGCTTTTGACACCACCTTCATTTCCGCAAGCTGTAAGCAGCCTGGACAATAGACAGTCACAAAGTGATTTCTCTCCCTGTCCTGCCTGTTTGAACTTTACAGACTGGCTCAAACTGCACAGATTTGCTGCCCAGTAGTGAGATCATCTTACCTAGAGCAGTCTACAAGACAGACAAAGCTCAGCTGCAAAGCTCAGAATTAAATCTTCTGTATAGACTGGAGCCCACTTGTATTTGCTTGCCTTCCTCCTTTCACGAAGCAGGAAATACAATAAAAACTATAAACACAAAAGAAAAGTCAATGAACAAAAACTTCTACTATTAATTACAAACATTAGTGCAAACCACACAGCAGACTATTTGTAGTAAGGTCAGTATTTTCTGTAAGTAGATCATACAACTGAGGCATTAAACACAGGTGAAGTCACATTCTTTAGCCAAATAAGTAGTCAGCTTTGAAGGTCACTCACACAGGAAACCTGGATTCTACTGCTACATGTAATATTTTATCTTATCTATTTGTGTGTATGCTATCATACTTTTTATTGAAAATATATTTAGTCCTGTACCTTTTAAAAATATGTTTATTAAAAGGTAGTAAAAACCAAATTCCAAAGCTGAATTACAGGTTTGGCTAAGAGACTCATCTAGCATCGTTTTAACTGCCTAGAAGAGCTTTTTCAAAACATATTTTTAAAAATTTAAATGAGCTGTTTGTCAATGGCAAAAAGCCAACACCTAAATCCGTGCTTGTCATTGAAATTCATGGCCCTGCTGCCCAGGGCTCTCGCTGTGACATCAGATGCTTAACACTGCTGTAAACTAGCTCACGTTTTTTACATATTCAGAAGTAGATGTAGATCTTAGGATTTATCTCACAGCACTTCAAAGCCAGGGCCTTTGTACCTAATTATGAGTCAAAGCTTGAAAGTTGCAGCCAGGCAAGAATCCTGCAGGAATCCTGATCTCCCTGCTCAACATGTGTTTATGTTTGGCGGTAGTCATCTGGGAGAAAGTGGAAAGAAGATTGGTTTGGAAAAAAAATACTTCTCAAAATTCTTTACTGGGCAAGGCCAATGGAGCTAGAAAATGCTGCAGTTAGTGGTCTGCAGCCGAACAGTGAAGTCAGAATTCAGAAAAAGTGCACTTTTTGATTGTTTGCTCTTCCTCCAGAACAGACATGGCAGCCACCGCAGCCCACCCTTCACAGGTTCTCATCCAGCCACTTGATGTAGCTGTTCCTGGTCTGCACGCCAGCCGAGAAATCCGTGGGCCACACGGTGAAGATCATGCAGCCGTGGAAGCAGTCGTGGAAGTGGTCGAGGGTGACGGGCACTCCGGCGCGCTCCAGGCGCGCGGCGTACATGGCGCCGTCGTCGCGCAGCACGTCGTTCTCGCAGGTCAGCACGTAGGTGCGCGGCTGCCGCGCCAACGTGGCGTCGTCCGCCAGCAGCGGCACCGCCCGCACGTCCAGCAGCGCCGGCAGCCGCTCCACGATGGCCTCGCTGCCCGTGCTCTGCACCACGGGCTTGTAGTTCTTCTTGAAAGAGGGAGGCAGCAGGGAGGTCCAGTTGAGGCGCGCGCGGAAGGACAGGGCCCGGCCCACGTTGAGCGCGGTGTGGTTGTTGACGAGCAGCTCGTGAGCCAGGTCGTAGTTGCCGTTGATGTAATCGATCCAGTAGTTGATCATGACGTAGCGAGGGAGCACGGGCATGTTCATGTTCTGCTGGTAGGAGGGGGTGTTGAAGTCAAAGGCCTGCAGGACTGGGTAAATCAAGGCCTGCAGTTTCGGTCTGACAGGCAAATCTTCATCTTTGCTAAGCTGTGCGAAAAACATAGCATGGAATTAAGGTTATAAACAAGATAAACGTATCAATGTTTAGGAAAGTAGACATTCATTTGAGTTTTAGAGTGAATTCTGCTCTTATACAGGTAAGGTGGTTGTTTTGTCTGAATTATTAGCAGCCTGATCTTTTCTCCCTTAGTAAGGTGGCCATTCAGGCAGATCCAGCATTTCATTCCCAACAGAAACCAGTGACATCAGTTTACTGAAGGGAGTAAGAAGCAAAAAAAAATAAATGTGTAAAGTGGCATTTCTCTAACACAGTGCCCAGCTGAACAGCAGGATTTCCTGAATCAAAGGAGCTACTCTTGCTTTTAAGAGCTTTTAATGGATTTTTCTTCCATGAATTGATCTAATTGTTTTTTTCAGCCAATGCAGATTGCTGGCATCCACAGTTTCTTCCAGCAAAGACTCACCTGGTGCAGAAGCACCTCCCTGTGTCTGACTTGACCTGCATTGAAGTCTACCAATTACGAATTTTGTGCCCTCTGATTGTCTCACTGTAATAGTCAGCAAACTCTTTGTTTCATCTCCTACACAAGGTACCCAGTGCCCCATCGTGTCTCATCTGGTTTAAAAAGAATTATGCATCAGGAAATCAAATTAGGAATGCTCCTTCCAAAATGTGGCACTATCATGTTTATCAGTCCTCAATATTGAAGTTTTTATTGTAATTGTCTCTTATTAATTTTTTCACCCTAATTCAATATTGCAAGGTTGTCATGATAATTAGTTGTCTGGACATGGTATCTGCTTTCTTATCACTAATGGTTATGGAAATAAGTTAATAATATTTCATTCAACCATGAAAAATATTACTTGCCTCGGGTCTCCTTTAAACTCTTTACTAGATCAAATTCAGATTACATTAAAAACTGCAGATACACAAAAGAAATGTCTTTAAAAGTGCAAAATGCTACAGGAAAACAATTTAACAGAAGAAATAAGCTCCACTTACTGTATATTTTGTCCTTCATTTGTATTTGAAAGAAATAAAAGTATATTTCCAGAGATAATTATCTAAAAATAGGCAATCATATTAAGAAATTATGCCTACTTGGAAAAACAAGGATTTCACCAGCAACATAGGTTAAAAAAAGTCATTTAGCTACTTGCTCTTAAACTCAGGTCCATAAAAACTTGTGACTGTAACAACACATCACTAACTATGTGATTCATATAGTGGCTGAGTCACTTTACAGAAGGAAAATTAACAGATTCTGGCTTTCTACCATTCTGTTTTCAGGCATGGCACATCACCTTGTGATGGAGCAGCACAGAGACCCTGCCAGCGTCCCTGGGCTGGACTGCAGTAGTGCAACACAGAACACTCAGGGGATGTTACCTGCTGGCACACAGCAGCTGCCAAATTCCCTCCTGCACTGTCCCCAGAGATTGCAATTCGACTGGGGTCCACTGAATACTCAGCCAAGACATCAGGCTGCAGGAAATGCTTTGTTGCACGAAGAGCATCGTGGTACTGCTCAGGGAAGCACACCTCGGGCACCAGCCTGTATCTGCAACAGGAAAGGGTGAGAAACAACTCTTACCTCTGCCATATTGTCCTGTGTTATTGTACCTCTCCTTTAGGATTTGCAGGTGAAATCAGATAACCCTTACTGGAAATAAGTATTTCATTAGGACAAATAGTACAGAAGAAGTAGGAAGTGTAATACGTATGTAAGACTTAATCTTATAATTAATGTTCTAATTTGGAACAATTAAAATGAACCTACTAAACATGAATAATACCAAGATAGTATGAAATTGTGCAGCACCTTCCTAGAATTTACAATGGAGGATTTCATCATGCATTACAAAAATCAATAGCTAAGACACCCTTGGCAAGGGAGCCATTCCACCCTGCCTGGTTTTGATCCAAATTCCCGCCTTAACAAGGATGAGGGTGAGTAAATCACACACACCCAACATGCTCCTAGTTTGGCTGAGCCAAATGCCTAAGCACTTCTGCTTCCCAAATTTTTACTGATGTCAGGAGAGAATAAACCTTGCTATCCCTCTGTGTCATGAAATGAACAATAGCCGAGAAATTAAGCAATGCCAATTTTCTCCAGTGCAATAGATGCAATAATTCCTTTCCTGTATCAATGAGAGGAGCAGAAATACACCCATTGGGCAGGTGGGGGATGGAGGCACAGAGAGCAAACAGCTGCCAGGAAGAGCCAGCAGCTGAATCCCACACATGATGCTTCCTCAGCTTCTAAATAACAGTGCAGGAGAAATCTGTTTGTATTTACTGAATAATCTGATATCCAAGAGCTGTTACTGGGCCTTATGGTAGGCAGCAAAGTTTTCAGCTTTTCAAACTACAGATTTTACACTTTCTCAGCAGAGCCTAGCCAACCAAAATTCAGTTCTCTGACTCAAAACATCTTTAGATTGTAAGCTAAAGAAGTTTCATATGCAGAATAAATTTTAAACTTAAGATTCCAATTTTCAAACTCCAATTGTGACCTGCTGTCAGAAAGCATTCTCTATCTTGTATATACAGGAATCTGAGGGTGTCCTTTGGGAGCTCCTTGCAAAACAGTAAACTGTGCATAGATTGTGAAAGTGAGATATGCAATTAGATCAACAAGGAATCCAATTAGACTTGGCTAATTGAATACACACCCCTTGATTGAAGGATGTAATGATTAAGGAAAAGAGGTAATAGTGACTCAGAGCAATAGACAGAATGACACCAGCATAAATCAGAAAAGGAATAATAAGGAACTTTTCAATATTGTGATTGCTGCTTGTCTGGAATAACCAACAGCTGCTTTTGTAGTTTTCCTTGTTTCTAATAATAAAAAACCAAAACAGTAAGAAAAAATAAACCCACCCCCCAATCCTTTAAAGTACACTATAATAAGCATTAAATTAGTAACATCAACTCCATATAATTAAGTTGCAATTAGATCCCAAAGCTTGGTATGTAATGAACTGCAGGTGGGAAACTTGAGTAATTTTATCAAGTGGTTGGGTTTAAAAAAGAAAATATTGAAGTTGACAACAAAGATGGGAACAGTACCAATCAAGCTGGAGTCATCTAGGTAATGTATTTAGCTAATCAAGAGGTTTGTTTGCCTTGGAATTGTTCAACATGTTAAAAAAGCAGCCCTGCTTCTCTGTTGTCTGGCAGTCTTCTGCTCTTGAAGGAAGCACAAGGCTTAAAAGAGAGGACTGGAACAGTGGGAGATTGCAAGAGCAGCAGGAAACTGCCAGACCTCACAGTGTATTCTAAAATAATTAGAAAACCAAATGCATTTCTGATACCACTCCAATTTGTTTTAATTTTAAAAGGATAAAGGTATCAGGCTAGTATAGAAAATTACTGTCCAAGTTACAGCCTTATAGAGAAGCCACTATGGAAGGAGAAGCTAAAAGAACTATGTTACAGATTTCTAATACCTTAAAACCACTTGATCAGTTTTAGATTACTCACTCAACAGAGACAACAACAGCATTCAGAGATTCAGCCATGATTCTGCAGAGATTGTTGTAAAGGCTTGTTCCTGGAAGAGAAGGACATGGTGTTAGGGACAGTGAGTCAATAGTCACAGAGCTGTCATTAAGCTTTCTCAGAAAACACACAGCTATCACACACACAGAATCCAGCAGATTTTATCACCAAAGTAAATGATAAATGAGATCAGCCCACAACTGCTCAAGTGCCAAATCCATACTCCTTCCAGCAGAAGGAAGGTAATTCATCACAATTTCAGAATCCTGCAGTCTAATGCCTTTCCTCATCTGTTTGTTGGTGACTTCAGACATGTCATTTCACCCACCTATCACAATTTTCTCAGTTGGCCAAAATCTAAGGCACACAGTGGTATGGGGGCATTTACATCCAGAGGGGGTTACTGTTGTATGAGTCACTGCCTGTGGTTCATTTTATTATAGCATTCATGGCTTTAATTCAAATGAGTTGCCCTATTAATGTCAGCTGAGCTTCTCATTTAAGGGAGGATTAATCACAGCTATCCTATTTATCAGAGGACTGATTATCTTTAATTTTGTTCCTTTCCAGTTACTTAATTGTTGGTTGCTAGTACTATAAAATATACTAGGACTATTAAATATTTTCTAAGCATCCAATCTTAGAAATTAATATTTAGGTGTAGCAATTGTGTCATTTATTTCTGCACCTTGGATTCAGGAATACATCTGACAAAGCCAAGCTATAATCATCCTGATAAAGTGCAGCACTTTAATATAAACTTTTGCACAACAAGAATCATATGTAAACTATTATAGAACAAATGATGCAGGCAGGAGGTTAACAAATATCCTTTAGGCAGGTCTAAGAAAATCCATCTCAAAGCAGAATTCCTCTGTAGGAAGAGGAGTAAAATGTTTAACTGCTACAGGACAAAGAGACTGGAATTTCCAAATGTGAAGGCCACATTTTAAAGTTATTTAGGAACTTAAATCTCACTCAAATCCTGGTCTAAATGACTTATACATCCAGAGTCCAAATGCAATCAGTACAGCCTGTGTTTTGTATAATTTTGTAAAAATCCACTCATGTTCTTTGTCTGTGGAGGAAGCTGCAGAATCAGGGCTTTATGGACTACAGGATGTCATGGGAACAATGGAGAAGGAAAAGGCAGAAGACTTTCTCAGATCTGGATCCCAGAGCAGCCACAGGAGCCACAAGCCCTTTGTCTCCCAAGGCTGTTTTCCTCCTGTACAATGTGGAAGCAATCAGTGGTTACCTTATCACTGCCTATAGCTGTACCTCACTTCCCTTGATCACGTTTGTGGTTTCCAAGCAAATGGAGTAAACAGCATTACATTTCAAGGTAATTATGCCAGTGGTGGTTGTAGTCCCTATGGAACCACCCAAAGAGGAACCAACCTCTACCTGCTTCCCTCACACTCCTCCTGCCTGTGCTCAGCAGTGTGTATTCCCAGGTAGGTGTTATTTAAGAACCAAACATTAGCAAGGCTGTTGCATGCAGTGTAGATCAGCTCAGTCTTCTGCTAATTATTCTCTGAAAATGGGACAAACCCACATAATTTCCTTATATGCAGCCACTGGAATCTGATCACCAAGAACTGATTTTTGCACATTACCTGAGAAAGTGAGGGACTGGCCTAAGCAGCCCACCCAGGCATCACAGAGATTTAATCAATAAGCTATTTTCCCCCTCTTAGATGTAATAAAATTAACCTTTTACTCCTTTAACAGCTCACATGCAGGTAAGATATGCACTTCTGCTGTGTGTTCATGGTATTTTTTTCCCTCTGTCCTTAGACTTGATCCACCAGAGTGGAGACAGTCACTACTGAATTCAGGTACATTTTAGCAAAACTGCCATTCCTGGCAGGAAAAAGAGCTTGTGGCCTTTCCTGCTAGGAGAAAAGCAGACTGAAATGCTATTTAATTACTGTCAGACACCTACTTGCACTTGCCAAGGCCCAGCCCCCTCCATGGATGTAAACAACGCTGCGCTTGAGGCTTTCATCTCCCTTGGCAGGAGGTTCAAACACTCTCACTTCCACGCCATCAAAAACTGCATCCGTGATTTTAACGTCTTCAGAGGAGACAGACTTCAGCTTGTCAAAGGTGCAAATCAAATAATTCAGAACTATCAAGTGATGGCTGAGTCTCAGGTAGTGAATCAGGTGACACTAGTGGGGGGAAAAGAAGAAAGGAAATTTCTGTTACTTCAGAGCATATCATATTCTACTCACATTGATGTGTAATACAGCTGCATTCAAAGGGCAGGTCCTACATGATTCTTACAATATTCACTGGAAAATGAAATTTTATCAAGAACCTCTAATGTTTTTAAAGCTGGATTAAAACAAAACGCTGCCCATAGAAGATTTTCTGTGGAAAAATAAAATGAAACTGGATCACAACCATGAACAAGCACTCAGATCCTCTGAAAGATACCTTGGAAGGGAACAACCCTCATGTTCCACCAGGGGACCTATGAAGCTCCTCAGACTGGTGCCAGCAGAGGGCAATACTACACAGGCGATGTTTTATGGTGGAAAAGTATCAAAAATGCAGATTATTTCTCTTGGTCCACTGCAAAGCATAAGTCTTTCTACTTCCAAATTAAGAAAAGTTCCCAAGGCCTGCAAAGAAATTTGGAAATGGGAATAGTCTTACAGGAATATAATGGTATTTTTGGCTTGTATTGTGTTTACCTGCAGAACTGGGAAGGATCTGAAACACCAGTTAAGAACAACAATACATTAATGACACTTTTTTCCAACCACAGAGACTTTTTTATGTGACTTTTTAATGTTACTTTTTTATGTGACTAAAACACTATGAAATTGAAGAATGATCTGATCTTTCTGTCTCCTTATGGTAGAAGGAGACAGATTTTATCCCCTTTAGCTATCCAGGACTTTTATTTTCATGTTTATTTTTAAAATTTTACTCTGACTCGATTAGAAACCAGTTTCTCTCAGCAAACACTACTGGGATTCAAGGCACTCCTCCACTTTGAAATGGTCGTGACCTGCTCCCCACACATGACCTGCTCACTATTTGTAGTGCATACCTGTCACCATGCCCTGGTGACAAAAGGGCAGCCAAAGGACCACAGGGACTACAGTGCCCAGAGTGACCATTTAAAAGGAAAAGTAGTGGAGGTCTTTCCCCTTTGAGCTCAGAAACTGGATAACCAGCAAGGCCTTTTGTACAACTATCTCAGACAAGGCAATGGAGTTGGGAGGTAAAATTAACACATATATTTAACGTATGCCTGTAGGAACACTACCACCAGGAAAACTGTCAGCTGGGACCTTTTATTTTATGTCCAGGTACCAAATACTTGGAACAAGAAGAGGTGTCCTGTTGTATAGAGCTTTTCTACACATGCCCACTTTGCAGTGTGAATTCTGCCAGTCCCAGCAGTGCAGTGTAACCTGCTACAAAGAATTCAAGATGCTGACACAGAGTGAGCAGGGTCACCCAGGTACTGGTCTAACCACATTCACCTGCTGAAGAACAGATAGCTGCCAGTTTAATCTGTAGAAAATCTGCTCACACCCCCCTGCAGAATAAAAGCAAGCTTTGAAGCACTCAGCATTCTCTCTTCCAAAGAAGATCTTATTGCCACAATCTCTTACATGTAATTTTTTTCTCTGTCCTAATTAGTTTGAATGTTAAAAAAAATTGAAGTATTTGCTTTCATCCAGGTTCTGTACAGAAAAGGCCCTGCACAGCTCTCACTGCAGACTGCTATAGAAAAAAAGAAAAGTTTGATATTTAAAAACCTCCCCAAAATTTACACCAAATACAATGGGCTGTTATGTGACTTGGGAGAGGAATCCATTCCCAAAACAAGAATTTTTAAAAAATTACTTTTTTTTTCTTGCTATAACTTGTGCTAACATCACCCTGCTGAGATTGTTTGGTAGGAATCCAAATTTTAAACTGTTTGCTGCTTTTTGGACAGGACATCATTTCCTCATACTGCAAGTCTTTTCTCTGGGAGAAGAAACACAAAATATCCACCTGGCAGGAAGAAATGCTGAATTCTCAAGGCTATTTGCATCTCCGAGTTTCAGCCCATGTTTTTCTCTCACCATTACTTAAAATTCCCACAGGAAACCCCAGGACTAGTTTGAAATCTGAAGAGCAATACATCTATTAATAATCTGGCACACAACTTGTTTGGCTGCCACTGATGTAACCACATGAAGGTCTGATCCTCTCTGTGCCCTATGGAAGCTCCCGGGGAGGTAACCACAGCGAAGCAGTCTTAGAAATACTGCTCAAGAAAAGAATGTTTTTGTAGATTTTATTTAGCCTGACTGTGCTGCAATAGACATCTCGTTTTTGTTCTCTCCCACTTTAGTTTGCATTCTCTGTAGACAAGATTACCACATGTTCCCTGGAGTCAGGAATGTTTTGTTTTCAAGGCTAGTTAGGGATATTTACCAAGAAGTGTTTTGCCCTGTTCTTCACACCACAGAGCACCCTGGCCATCTGCAGCCTACCATGCCCTTTCATGCCTATTGCTCCTAGAATAGACCATACTTTACAAGAATCCAGAAACCTGGAAGAGATGCTTTCCACATCAGCACACAAAGGCAACAGTCCTAATTATTTATCAGGCATAGGCAGTTTTTCTGCCAAGCATTTATCAGATAGATTCTTTGTTAGTCAATCTGCCTAACCAGCTTATTGGCTTGTGATTTACAAGGCATCAGGATTGCACTTTTGCTGGCAAAAAGCCAGTCTTGTCCAAAGTTCTCACAAATAAATTTCTTCTTATCTTCTCTCTAAATATTAAAAATAAATACCTATCATATCTTAGCAATCTGTACTAATACTCCTGGCAGAACATGTGGTTGGTTGGCCAACTCTCCTCTAGGAGTACCTTGCCCTCAAAGGACAGCCCTGCCCATCCTGATGCCCGTTCTTCCCTGGCACCTTTCTTGTGGTGCCCCTGGAAGCCTCAGAGCAGGATCTTGCTGCACCAGTTACATACAAACCCAGCGGAGCCAGAGGAACACTAAACTTCAGTCATGTCACAACCTTACTGATAGCCCAAGGCAGGAAAGAGGAGCAGGAGAAAGGATGCCAGCCCTTTTGGCAGCAGCTGGAACACCTTGAATCTGGGATGAACCTGGAACAGCTCATCTCATGTGAGCAATACTGGGTTTGATCTTTGCTGGCAGCTGGGGTTTTTACCACACTCCCAGTTATAACCTGCAGGGCTGCTGCAGGTTACCAAATGTAACACTTCAAAATATTTGGGGATTATGTGTATGTGTGGATGAGAAGAGAGAAGAGAAGAGAAGAGAAGAGAAGAGAAGAGAAGAGAAGAGAAGAGAAGAGAAGAGAAGAGAAGAGAAGAGAAGAGAAGAGAAATATTCTCTGGTTAAAAGGGAGAGCAGACAGTGCTGCAATACTAAAAGCTAGTGGAAAGGAAGAGAAAGCATAAGGAAAAGGGGGAAGTAAAGAGACTACAGGAAAGAAAGAAGAGATAGTATAAAAATAAAAAGCCTGTGGGCAACTGGCCCAGAACTGCCATGCCAGCTACAAGCACAGCACGTTGCTCGCTCTGGGTCACAGCTGCAAGTTTTTTCATTTTCCACTACAGCAATAAATCTCCTTTTATTTTGCCAGGACGTTCCCATGACTGAGATTTTAAGGTAAGGACTATGCAGGCACTCCCAAGGGACTGGACTGTTCAAGACTGACACTTTCCTTCTGGTAAACTCTGATATGGGGTGCCAGGTACTGAAAGATTTAACTGATGTAGGAGAAGTTTTTCAGCAAATGAAGAAAGGAGTCAGGGCAGAATGAACAAAGTACTGCACCAGTGAGGCACCATTACTTCACCTTTAACCACCAATATCTGTCCCTAAATTATATGGATTCTTCTACTGGCTCCTCAGCTGATTATTTAATGAAGAAACTCACATCCCCCAAGGACTCGAATTCCATTCTCATCATATGTTCTCTATTGCAAAAAAGTAACCCAAAAGTTTTTGTTGCAAATGTCCAGTACCCTCTAACTCCACTCAGCACACTGGGACTCTCTGTCCTCAGACGACTTCCTGGGCTAACCATGGCTCTGCCCTTTAGCACGGGATGATTACGACAGGTCAGGAGGCACAAAGGCACAAAGGCACCATGGCACCACCCCCCAGAGGCATCAGCTGGTGCCCCCAGTGCCCTCCCAGAGGGCAGAGCCAAGGTCCTGCACCGACCTTTCAGGCTCTGGGGGCATCAGGAACTGGGCAAACAGCTAAGGCTCTTTTCACATCCAGCACTACTTGGGAGCCAGCCAAATCTCACTCATGACTCAAGTGAGCAATGATGCGGGAACTGCAAGGCTGAACTGTCTAAAACTCAACTTCCTACCTTAAAAGACACAGACACGATAGTCAGTTCTGGCATTGCTTTGAAAAGGACACTTCTATAAACGTTACAGGCCAAAATGCCAACGACAATGTCTGTAGTCAGTAACAGATGAGTGAAAAATAAACATGATCGTTTCCACATTTAGCTGTGTGTGGAACAGATTGTTTTGGGTGCATCTTAGGCAATTTACCCTGTTTAAGGGTCATTTTACAAAAAGATTTCTCAATGCAAGTGTCTTGTTGCCCAGTAAAGAACATGTCTTTTTAATACTATTAGATAAGACAATTTTCAAAGACAAGTGCTCTTAGTTTTATGAATTTCCTTTAGAAATAAAAAGAAACCAGGAAGACTGTTTTTTCAGTTTATTAATTAGAAACAAAATCTAATTATGTTTTGATGTAAGATTTTGCTCACATACCTATTCAATCATGATGATCTGCTTTTATAGGAACATAAATTACCTGTTCCTGCAAGCAGGACTTACAGTATGGTTCAGTTTCTGCTCAGGTGCCAGTGCTGGGAGACCTACTTTCCATAACTAAAAACCTGTTTTACTGTAAATCAGTTCTAAGATTGTTCTTGCATCCAGAACCATCAACCTACTGCACTGCCTACAACTATGACTTACATCTGTCCAGAAGTTACACACTCTGAAATATGTGGGTAGAAAGAAATTAAAATGTTAGAAAGAAATACAACTGTTTTCTTTACTCCTGAATGTTGATATCCCATGGCTGATTTTATTCCAAGAGTGGAGAAGAAGCACAAAGGAAACACTTGGCTGATGAGAAGTTTTCTGCCCTGTACAGCTGCCTGCCTTCTTCCATATACATCTATCTGATGGCCCCTATGCCAACCTATTCATCCTTCCAAACCTTTGCTAACAGCTGTCCCAATTCCAAAAAAATTCCTCTTTCCTTGGCATGCACCAGAATAGCAAGTGTCTTGACAGTGGTGTTCAGAAATAACTTATTTCAAAGGACTGCAATAAACATGTGCTGCTCTCTTTCCTCTTCTAAGGGAGAGTGGTTAGAGGAAGAAGTCAAAATGCCTGTTATCAATACTGCTGTTACAGCAGAATTTCAAATTGTTGCTCTAGACACTTGTTAACAGACACCCACTGAAAAAATGACGCTAAATCTCTGGCTCAATCCTGTAATTAACTTTCTGTGGCTTCCCAAATTTCAGTGAAGCTGAGTTCTGATGTACCTGTATATACATGTATGTATACAAGTTTTTAATTTCTAATCTCAAATTGTGTTATATCAGTTTCATGTACAAATGTTACCATGCCCCATTTTGAGACAGGTGATGAGCAAATCATCCTTTCTTAGGTAAGCATTTTCACATCAATTCATTACTATCATTGAAGTCTCAGTTTCTCTGTTTCCTTTCCAGAGCAGCACAGGGCATTAGAGAGGGCACAGGAACAAGGCTCTGGAAAGTCATCTCAGTTTTCAGCTCCTTCACTGGAATTTTTGTGACCTCACATAAGCACTCCAGCTCTTTCTACCTCTGTTCCCCGCAATTTAAGATTTAAACTGACACTTTAGCAGTATCAGTTCCCTTCTGTAGTACATTTTGGAACCTGCTTAAAGAAACTGCCCTATAAACACTACACACGTTTTAAACCACCTGATTATACGTGAGTGTTGGATTCTCACACTGAGCCAGGACACTGACTCAGTCCCAAGCTTGTAAAGAAATTTATAGCAACCTGGGACAAAACTCTACATGCAAATGTAAAAACCTTATCATTAGTACACTGAAAGCCAGTGACAGTCCTATTGTGTTTTATTCACAGTGGTTATTAATGCACTGAGCAAATAAACACATTGTCCCTAATAAGAGATGGTCACACTTAATCATCAGAGTATTGACAAATCCATTTCAAAATAAGCAAAAGACAATTAATTTATTTGAAGCACTTGAAGTTTGTGGGGAAAAAATACATTTCAGAGATTTTAAAATTAGAAAGGTATTTCTGTCAGCTATCAGACCTATAAAGCAAAGTAATAAACAGCAAGCTGAAATACATTCAGAAGTGGGTGAAAGTTCAGCAGTCCCACTGAGAGAAATGTTAAACCATTTGGCCTTGAAATAGCTGATAGAGAAAGAAAGAGGAAGCTGACCTCTGGAAAAGGACATACACTTTATTTTATATATATATATATAAATACACACACACAAGCTGCCTAACAAAGTAAATACACAAGCTTAACTTTTACAATCCTACCTTTGGTTCACAAGGGTTCCTTCCTAATGACAGTCATTTATTCTCGACTGTGCTGCCTCAGTGTTAGAGAGAATTCTGAACCCTTGGAAAGCACCTTCTCTTTCTCTCCAGAAACCAGTGCCCCAAGGCTCACCTGTTGTGTGGCTGGGGCACCTCTAACAACTCCCCTCCTTCATGCTTCTGGGTTAAACTCACTTGTCCCTTTGTTTTTTGCAAGTGATGTTACAGGAACTGTTACCTGGTTAGTAGTTTTTCTCACTATTGAAGTTTTTATTTCTAAGGCCAGAGATGTAAATAACTAAGAAATGACCACTTTTCCTTAACAAAGTCTTCCCTGTCCCAGAGAGTGGGCAGGTGTGGGCACCTCAGTCCTGCCACCAGCCTGCTCCAGCTGGCACCCACCAGGCTTTGTCCTGTCAGCTCCTCCAGGGATTATGACCTCTAGAATATCTCAAAAGAGACTCCTCAGCCTCCAAGCTAGAGGCACCAGAATGCATCTATACCCAACACAGCACATAAACAAACTGAATGTGTAGCTGAGGCAGCAGCAATATACATATACATGGCCACAGTCATACCATTTTCTAAAGTTAGGTCTTCTTGAGCCAGAGGTTTTGGCCTTGACTCAGGTGTTCCTGGACAAACCATGACTCTGTGTTTTGCAGGCAGCATGCTGTGCAGGCACCATGGCCCTTCTGTTCCTACCTAGCAATGAATTTGGGCAAGCTGAGCGCCTGCAGTTCAGTCATTTGAGCTAAAACATGGAGCAAGTGAATGTCAAGCCATAGATTTTCCTGCAGAATTTAAACTATTGCATAATTTTCCTCTCATACAGGAGGACATACAAGTGAACAGGTTTTATCTGTACAGCAAACAGGTTTTATCAATTCAACCAGGAGGCATACTTTGATTCAGTTATACAATTGGACCATAAGATGTCCCAGGGAATCAGATGAGTGATCCATTTAGTCCCAGCCTATGTCTCCAAAGGTGACAACCAGAGAAGCTATTCAGGCAGAATACACAAGTTTGGACACTGCATGAGGGTCACTGTCTTAATGCTTCCCACTACTCACCATTACTGCATTAAGAATGTAGCAGGTACATTTCCACCTAGTCCATTTATGAGCCCTCTGTCCACTAACTCATTTAATCCCTTTTTGAAGGGATCATCATCTGCTCAAAATACAAGCTTCTGCACATTTCAAAACAATCCAGTAAACTGAAATTTAAATCAAAACAACTTTCAATTTTCACATACACTCTGCCTTACATCAGTCCTGTCCATGACTGATCAGTCCTTGTGAAAGACTGGGTAATATTAGAAGAAAACAAACTTCAGAGATGAAGTCATTATCAGAAAATTTGCCATCTCTTTTCTGTTTCATGTCAGCATAAAAACGCTGGCAGAAAAGAAGGGAGAAATCAAGTGACAACTGCTCTGTGACAAAAAGCAAGTATCCAGAGAGTTTTCTTTAGTAACAAGACTCCAAGACAGTTTAACATTTGAAAGAGCTTCGTATGTCCTCTTTCCCTAAGGCACAGGGATCAGATTAAAGCCACTAATTCTTTTTCCCTGACCAAGCGCCGGCAATTCGCACACCAGGGCGAGCCGCAGGCGGTGAGGCTGTGCCGGGAGCCCCGGGCAGCGCTGGCAGCCGGCGGCTCCGAGCGGCGCTCGCCGGACGGACGGACAGGGGCGACACCGGGGCTGTCCTGCGCGGCGCTGCCGCTGTCGCAGTCACAGGGGGACACGAGCCCGTTCTCCTCCTGCGTGGGGGACCGGCCCAGCTCCGGCCCGCCACACGCGATGTCACCGACCCGGGCACTCCCCGACCACAAGGCAGCCCCGGGGCCGGGCCGGGAGGGCTGTGCGGGGGCCGCTCCCGCTGCGCGGATGCCCCGGACCCGCGCCGCTACCGCGCTTCCGACCGCCTCCGGTACCGGAGCGGGGGCTGCCGCCCGCCTCCCCAGCGCCGCGGTGCCGGGGCCGCCTTACCGTCTGCTGCACCGCCCGGAAGGTGGCATCCAGCAGCATCAGCTTCCAGGGGTCGGACACGGCGCCGGGCAGCGGCAGGTACACATAGTAGGCGGACAGGGCGGCCAGCGCCGGCAGCAGCAGCCAGGCGGCCCGCATCGCCTCCTCCGCGCCGTGTGCGGCCGCCTCGCCGCGCTCCCCGCGGGGCGCGCACCGCCCCCGGGCCGGCCTCCCCCGGAGGAAGTCCCGGCGCTTCCTCCCGGGCCGCCGGCCGTGTGCCCGGCCCGAGCCGAGCCCAGGGCCCGCCCGGCGCCGCCCCGCCCGTGCCCGCCCGCCCCGCGGAGCCGCCGCGCCCCGTGGCCGGGCGTGCTCAGGGACCGCCGGCCCGGAGCATCGCACCGGCCCGGAGCATCGCACCCGCCCGGAGCATCGCACCCGCCCGGGGCTGCCCGCGGGGCCGCGAGGGAAGGGGCTGGGCGGACACACGAGGCGTGGGAGGACGGAGCTCCTCCATCGCGCTGTCGGCCAACAAAGGCATCCACATCTTGGAAAGCACCTTCAGACTTTCCAGGTGCCAGGTGCTGCCTCCTGGCACCCCATACCCACTGCTGACACCCCGTACCTGCTGCTGACACCCCGTACCCACTGCTGGCACCCCACACCCACTGCTGACACGCTGTACCTACTGCTGACACCCCTACCCACTGCTGGCACCCCGTGCCTACACCTGACCCCTGTACCCACACCCAAAAGCTTTGCCCACTCAGGCTGAGTGGTTCTGTGGGGCTGACCTGGCAGCAGCCAGCCCGACCCACAAGCAAACCCCACCAGTTTCATGGAATCACTGAATGGTTTGGGTTGCAAGGACTTAAAGACCATGTCACTCCAAAATCCCTGCCATGGACAGGGACACCTTCCCCTAGACCAAGCTGCTCCAAGCCCTGTCAGAGCTGGCCTTGATTTTCATATTTTCATTATTTAGGGTTGCAGCAGCAGCGGATGTGTGCGGTGTCAGCTCTTTGCCAGCAGAGAACAAGAATATCAATGTTCAGGTAGGGTTGGCCCTTCTCCGCTGAGCCCAGAGGCTAAGGAGGTGAGATGTAGGCTGCAACATGGAACACTTCAAATCAGTTTGACAGGATCTCAGATTCAAGCTGTTTCCAGAAACTCAGGGACACCCTTATTTTACCTGGAGAAACCTGTTTCCCGTTTAACACATAACAAAATGATTCCAGAAAGATTATTTATTTAAGGTATGTTTGTTTTGTAATTTTGTTCTGGACTGGGAGTTTGTTGGAGTTTTCATTTTTTTACCATGGGTCAGTAACAGATTGTGGTTCAACACAGCAATATTTCTTGTACCTAAGACAGGAAAAAAAGTTAAATATATTTTTTAATCAGACTCTAAAGAGTTCAGCCTTTACACAAGTCATTACTTAGTCACCGTCCTATCGTCAGCAAATTAAAATATTTATTTAAATAGCCAGATTCACGTATATTATGAATCCAGTGCAGGAAAAAAAAAAGAATGAGCACCAAACTTAACACTGACTATAATTAAAAATGAATTCATAATACTAAAAAGTCACATAGAAATATAAATAGAGTCCTGGAAAGCACAGCTTTCCTTTAAAAGTTGACATGAAAACGTAATATAAGAAAAATATGTTTCTACAAACTAAAAGGTCAGCTTTTAGTGGAGCTTTCCTGGAACTGAAGTACCACCTTGCTGATTCTAAAGGTTGCAGAAGAATGTTTCTGGAATGAGAGAGAAAGTGAGCCCCTCAAGCATCTTTAACCTTTTGTAATAACAGCAGCAGATGGATTTTCTGTGGTTTTCACAGTCCATTTGGGTAGACTACAGAAGGGGAGAAACGAGCCTTGCCAAGAAAGCAGCACAGGGTAAGTCCCCAAGGTCTCCAGGTTCTTATACAAAGTTGTGCCTTTCTGTATTGTTTTGTGCTCACACCTTCTCCTTCACCTCGTGCCCTGCTCCCCTGCCTCCCTTGCTCTGCATACCCTGCTTCCTTTGCTTTCCCTGCCCCTGCCCCTAAATCCCACACCCAGCATCCTGAGTGTAATACTTGGTACCCATCTCTTCAACAAAACTCACTGTTCACAAACCTCTGGCAAAACTGAGCCCCTCTTCTTATCTTCTCAAAGCTTCTTATCTCCTCAAAGTAGGGATAAAAAGGTTGGATGGGATTTTTCTGAAGTTTCTCATGCTCCCATGTCCCCCCCTTCCCCCCCATACACCTGGTGCTTGATCTCTCCCCTTCCTCATGTTTTGAAAACTGCTGCTCTGGCTAAACTGAATCAATGGCTCAGTCGATTGAAAAAAAATTCAGTTGATTAAAAAAAAAACAAAAACCAACAAACCAACAACAAACCACTGTGGTTTGAGAAAGATCCCTTTGTTTAAAAAATGTAAAAGAGAGAAATTAAACCCCAGGATGCTTGCAGGACATCTCAGGGCCAGCAATTTACTTATGTAAACTCACACCCTGAAGCCAAGGAAGAGGTTCTGGACCCCAAATTCCTGGGAAAACACAGGGCACCAAGGAGCCACCAAGATCTCCTTGTGCCTCCTGGGGTCCCATCAGCTTTTCCAGTGTGGCCTCCTTGTTCTTTGCCACAGTTGTGAGATCACTGCTCTCACCCAGGCAGCTTGTCAGGATTTATTTAATGATTTAATCTCCTGAAACTTTCTCCCCGTGGGTCTCACTGCCTGAAGAAGGTATTTAACTATAAAATAAATGTTATGCTCCTGGGTTACTGATGCCTACTTAACTGGAAGGAAGGGCAGGTTTCAGCTGCATGTTACATTTTACAGAACACAAAATAATGGGTGTTTCCATTTCAGAGCTTTTTATAAGAAAAGCACTTCGATGTTTAAATGTCAGACACCTGAGGAATAGTAATTATTTTGTCATCAGTCCTGTATTAATCTTTAGAGACGATAAGAGCACTTTAAAAAAATCCCACAACTTAGCTATGTTTTTTAAAGTGATTAATACCTAAAATTTGTCTGCGTTCTGTTCCTGGGAATCCAGGTTCACCAGAATAACCAAACTGCTTTATCAGTTTGTAATTCTGGATTTTCAAGTATATTGTAAAAATGGCTAATACAAGTCACTCCCAAATGCACAGGGAACCCTCTATTTATGTACTGAACATTTGGGTATTGATTATATTATTTTTTAAACCTTTATCTGAGAAGTCATGCATCTTATTACCTCTTAATCCCTTGTCCAAGTAAATATGGTTCTCCTGTCTTTGCAAGCACAACATTTTATACACACTTTATTTATGTTTTTTAAGATGATGATGTTAAATGAAAATTAATGTGCAAACACCAATATCTTTTCCAGAAACAAGTACTATTGACTCCTGTACTGCAGAACTTGTTGCAAACCTAGGAGAACCCTGGTTCCAGGTGGGGGAAACCTGGCTGAAAAGGACTTTTATTTAAAAGTGCGCAGTGGAAAATCCAATGAAAGTTGGCCTGGAACTGCAAAATGATGGCCCAAGTGGGTACTCGAAGGTGACAAAAGGACCTCAGGTAAGGGTGGATTTTGACTGTAAGTTATCATTGAAATTAGCCAATGTGAAATAAAGTAATTGTAGGGCTTGTGTAATTGTGTAACAATTGGACACAAGTGTCAACATTGAAGTGACCTCCTTGTTTTCCAGGCTGTTATTCTGAAATCTTTTCCTCAGGAAAATAGTCCTAATTTCTGTGTACCTCATCAGCAAATCTATATCCATATAAACAACACTCATTATCATTTTCCTATGCTTTTCCTATTTTGTTTTTCTTTCAAACCATAAAAAGTCAATGGGCTTTTGCAGCTGCTGGATCAATAATGAAAAAGCCTGAACTGAAAAAAATTGGATGATCTAAGAACTCAGTTTGGCAGATAACAGAACATTCTAGAAATACAAAATGTATCTTTCATTGTATTTACATTGGGAGTTTGTTGACATTTGCAGTGAAACATTGTGCTAAATCAGGTTCCAGGATACTGAGCCCCTAAGAATCCCTTTCCATACCAGTAAGCTTTAGTATCAGGGAAAATTAAAAATAAAAGCACAGTTTAAACATTTGGCATAATTTATTTCGGGGCTGCTGCTGTGGAGTCAGCTGGTTGATTTTCACCTTGACCAGTCGTATTTTCCCGACAGCTCCTGTTTCCTACGAACTGATTATTCTGAAACTCACTACAAGAGATGCACACCGTTTTTTTTTTTTTTTTTTAATAAGCAGCATTAATATTTTTGCGGTGACCACAGCGGCTTTCTCCAGGTCCCCTGGGTTGGTATGGAGGGCTGGACCCGGGGCCGTGAGGGGGCCGTGAGGGGGCCGTGAGGGGGCCGTGAGGGGGCCGTGAGGGCAGCGCTCCGCCTGCCCCGCCTGCTCCATCCGGGTCTCTAGGCGCCGCCGTTGCTAGCGTTCAAACCCCGCGGCAGCCAATCAGCGCAGAGTTCGTCCCCCCCGCCCACTCAGCAGCCTGCGCCCGACCGCAACAAGCGCTGTGCGTCTGCCCAGGAAATATCTCACAGCCAATGGCAGCGCGTTCCGCCTGAGTGGCAGATGCAGCGACCAATCCGAAAGGGACAAGGGCGCAGTGCTGCCGAAAAGGAAGGGCAAGTGGGCGGGGCATCTCGCGGCCGTGGCGAATGAGGGGGCGGCTTACAGCGGGGCGGTGGGGCCGGCAGCCAATGGGCGGCGGTGTGAGTGCGGCGGCTCGCTTTTTGAATTGGCGGCGGCCGCTGATGGCGGATGGCGGCGGGCGGCGCCGGCGGTGAGGGGGCACCGGGGCTGGGGGTGCGGGCGGCTCTCCCGGAGCGGGGCCGGTGCGTCGGGCTCCTGTGGGAGCTCCGGCGCTGTCCTGGGGCTCCTCAGGCTGCCGGCTGTGCTCCTTGGGCAGGGCGGAGCCCCGGGCCCGGCGGCACCTGCTGGCTCGGGAGGCGGCGGCCCCTCGGCCTGGCCTGGGCCACCTCCCTGCAGAGCTCGGGAACCCTCCTGGGTGCTTCCTTGGGAGGGACATGGGAGCGTGGGAGGTGTTTACTGTCCTTTCCGTGCTTTACTAAACTTATTTTGGTTTGTGGCTGGTTTGTGTCCTTCAGGCTTTCCACAAATCATTGGGAGGTCATTTCTGAGTGTGATGCTGTGGGGTATTGGCTCTGCCAGAAGCCTGTAGTGATGGCGTTCTGACTTTTGCTCTTTATGTGAGGGAAAATTGTTGTGTTCGTGTCTGTGTGTGCTGCTTGTTCTCCTCTGCATCCTGGCACTATCAGTCTGTCAGTTTAGTGACAAATATTGCTATTATTTAAACAAGGACTATTTTTAAACACACCCAGGATGGAACCTTAGAAATAAATAAATTAGAAAAATTCATAAAGAAAATCAATGCCTAGACCAAAGTCTGGGCTTCTTCAAAATGAAGTTCTTTGTGAGTACATTTTACTTTGTATAATAATAATAACTCTACTGATGTCTCAGACTTCTAGGAAATAATCTCTAGGATTTAAGTTTAGTTGTGCCTCTAACCGGAGGGCTTGTTTTCCTCTAAATTTATATTGTAATTGTTCTTGTGGTAATTATTATTAGCGATCTGGTTTGAATCTGCCAAGATTATACTTCCCTCCACCACTGCCAAAGGAATTGGTAACTGTGTTACAGCTCCTGGTGGTGACATTGTAACTTTCTGGTCCGGGGGTTCCCCAAAGACTTTTCAGGATTGAGGTCACTCTCTCCTCTTGCTCTGAGAAAAATGAGGTGCGTGACTGAGGCATGCGTTTAAGAAACTCAGCTCCATGGACCTGCACAGCTGTGTGTGACCTGAAAACTGAAACTCAGGTGGCAAATCTGGGAGTTGAATATGCCTAGAATAATGATAGATTTGTGGTGTTGATTATTGCTCATCACTGCATTAGGAACTTGTGTATTGTGGGGATTTGAATCCCTTCCACGAGTCCCAGTCCTTTCTGTATTGCTGCTATGCCCAAGTGCCCATTGCTTTTTGCCTTCTGACTTTGCTGTGTAATGGGATGGTCATTACCCAATTTGGGAAATAGCATGTGCTGTTCTCTAGGGGTTTTACTGCCTCAAGAGTCCTCTTTCAGACAGTGCTCCAGTGCAGTATTTGTGTAGCTGCTGTTTCCACAGGGCACATGCAGTCACAGAACAATTCCAGTTCAAGTGCCACAAAGGGTTATTATTCAACAGCAGCTCAGCTGTAGCTGCTGCTCTGGGTAACTCCTGATCTCACTGTGCAAACACTGGAACCTGGGTGTGTGATGAGTCACAGGAACTCACCCTGCCTGCCTCCTGTGTGGCACAGAAGGGGCTGTGTGTTGGGTATGTGCCTGAGAACAATCCTTGTGCTGCAGGATTTGGGGAGGTGGCTCCCAGGAAATGGGAGGGTTGAGGTTCTGCCTTTGCAGTAGGTGACAAGGCTGATGGGCAGGGAGAGCACAGATCAGGGTGTTTGAGAGGAGAGGAGGCCTCTGTATCTGAGGATGAAAGGCTGCTTCTACTCTGTCATAGTTAATTCAGGACCATACAGCTGGACATGTATGTGCACATCAGCTTTGCAGGGACTCTCAAGCTTTTTAAATTTTTCTAATGTTGGAATCTATTAACTTAGAGGGTTTTTAGGAAATGGTTAAAAAAGTATAGGCTTCAGACTGAGGTTTTTTCTAATTTTTCTAATGTTGGAATCTATAAAGTTAGAGGGTTTTTAGGAAATGGTTAAAAAAGTATAGGCTTCAGGCTGAAGTTTTTGCTTTACTGAAAAGGAATTCTCAGAATTTCCATGCATTCGACACGTTTGAATTGAATTCGGAACTACAATTTCTCGAGTGGAAGAGACTCTTTCAGCTCTTACTTCAGGCATAGTAGAATTTAATTCAGTTTTCAGTGTCCCTGCACAAACAATTTTAGGAAGTACAGTCTCTTTATCACAAAGACTTTTTTCATTTCTCTTTTCTACACATTTTGTGAGAGAGAGAGCACAGATCAGGGTGTTTGAGAGGAGAGGAGGCCTCTGTATCTGAGGATGAAAGGCTGCTTCTACTCTATCATAGTTAATTCAGGACCATACAGCTGGACATGTATGTGCATATCAGCTTTGCAGAGACTCTCAAGATTTTTTAATTTTTCTAAGAGTAAATAATCCTGGCTCTACTCTCTGGGTGCTCATTTCTAACCACAGCCTCTCTAGCCAGTTCACCTGAGAAATCAGGTTTTAGGAAGATGTTATGCTTACCCTAATTCTTCTGCTGATGTTTCAAATCAACAATGCTAACTTTAGTCTCAGCTGTAGCTTATAAATAGTTTGTCACTGAAAGAAACAAATGCTTTTAGTTTCCTGCTTTGTGGTTCAGCTTTTTTAAATGAGCATTTGGGTTCTTGCTTGCCTGTGCTCAGAGCTGCAGTTCCCTCTGTGCAGATGAATTACAGAACCATTTCTGTAACAGCTTTGTTGTCAGTCTTTTCTATCAGTTGTGTTACTCTTGATGCTCTATCAGTGTGAGTGGGAGTTCAGTAAGAGCCCAAATGTTTTGTTTTCTGAAGTCACTTCTGACAGCCTTGGTCATAGGACTCATGAATGAGCTTTTTGCACCTGTAACTGAATTTCCCCCCTGCACCTTGCAGCTGGTGAAGAAAGAAACAAAGCATAATCATGGCTGACAGCAGTACTCTGGTGTCTGAAACTGGGAGGAGCCTCTTGGCTGATTCTTCTGTTCTTGAGTCAAAAATGATAGAAACCTCCAAAGAGAATGTATTCCGTGCAACTGTTCTGGATGTTGAAGGTAAGGGGGGGAGTTTGTTTTAAGACTGCTTGGTTTGTGCAATGACTGATTACTTTGTTGGTATTTAGTAGTTTTGAAAAACCAAAAGCACTTTGAGCTCCAGAATGTACATAGAGTAGGGAAAAGGGTGTTGATCTGGAATCCTTTCATTAAGAACATTTGGAGTTACAGCCCAAATTGAATGAATTTTGTGGCTGTTGTACAGAAAGCTGTCAGTTCCATTTGATCTCTCTTCTGTGGAATAAATCACTGCAGGTGACATTTTGACATCAGTGTTTGGAAACTGCAGCTGCTCTGTTATGTACAGGTGGACAGATTAATAAGGTAGAGAGGTGGAGAGATTAATAGTCTTAAGCCCAAGATTAATTCAATAACAAATCTTGAAATTAAAAAACAACCACCAATGTTTTCCTCCAAGGTAATAGCCAAAATCTGCTGGGGGTCTGTTATGTAAATGACATGGAGGCAACACTTGTTCTTCCTCCTAATATTTTGAAGGCTTATTAATGCAAGGAAAAAAACAAGGCATCTAGTTTCAGTTCTGATATTCCTGGTAACTGCACAGTTACCAAGAAAGTAATGAACCTTGTCAGCCAGGAACACAGAAACTAGAAAAGATACCAGCTGTCTATTTTCCAGCAGATCTTGGTATCTAATTCTGCTACAAGCATTAAGCCTGTAATTTTTGGGGGTTTTCATTTGCTTGGTGTTCTTTCCTCCTCCCTACCCCTTGATTTATGTTTCTGTTTTGACTGGTAATGAATTGCAGATTCTTGTTTCACTTCATACTTGAAAGTTTGGGCTCAAAGTCAATTTGGTATGCCTTAATTAAAGGCCACTCTTCTTAAAGTTACATTTATTTTCAGGATTGTTCCTGATAAGGAATCTTGAAAGGTTACTCTGCCTGTATTCTTGTGTACATTATTGCTTGATTTAGACATAACATAGATCTTTCTGCTAAAATACAAATATCCTTGCTTCTCTCTGAGCAGAAGAAATGCCTCAAATAGAAACAAGAGTGGTTTTGGTTCAGGAAGCAGGGAAACGTGAGGAGCTTCAGAAAGCCTTGGAGGTATGTGGGCCTGAGATAAAACATCACTGAAGGTTATGCCTTCAGACTTGTGGTAACCAATTTGCTTCTATACTAAAGTTCTCCTCTTCCACAGACCATTAAGATAATGGAAGTACCTGTTATAAAGATAAAGGAAAGTAGCCCTGATAAATCAGAAGAAAAACTAATAAAAAGTATTATTCATATGGTATGTCATGCAATTCAGCACATGTAATTGCATGCAGCATGTTACACTTCACTGGGACTGAAATGTGCACACACTTTAATTTGGATTAATTGGGCATAATGGTCATAATATATGCTAATGGTTCTGATGGTGTCACAGCTCATCAAATTAGCACTTCTTTTAAAATATGGAGTAACACTTGTAGCTCTTTTCTAGTGGTGTTTTCTAACAGGGGCATCACAATATCCATGGGGATAATCCAACTGCATGCTTGTGTTCAGTCACACATAAGTTTGTGCTATGAACTGGCTTTGTAATTGTCAATGGACTTCTCTTTCAATTGAAAGCTGCATTCAACCTGAAGTGCAAGAAATGCTTTTCCATTTCTTGATGTGAAAGGCATAAGAGATAAAGTTTGGAACTAGTGTTTGAAAATGGAATGGACAAATTTTTTTAACCACTTAAAAATATCAAGCAATGAACAAAACCTATTTCTGTTCTGTAGCATGGAGCTTGCTGTTGCAAACTGGATGCTACTTTTTAGTACCATCCCACAGTACCCTAAGCTGTTCTGACAGTCTGAAATTTCATTTAGCTTTTGAGCTTAGGGTACTTTTTCTATCTAGCTCCTTCCAGTGCTACATTATCAGAGTGAACTGATATATAAACTGCTTAAGCAACCAGAATTCTGATTCTTCAAAAGCAGCAATTACTTTGACACTCAGTCTTAAAGCATGCAGCAGTTCATAGCTATTCTTATGCTAAGAACAGTGCACTGCATTCAGCTTTCACAAATCCTAACTCTGTCTCTGAAATATGAATCACACATTTTCCTAATGCTCCAAAATAAACATCAGTTGAATTTTACACTTGTGCAAGTATGTTACCTGAGTAATGCTTTCCCTTTCACCCCTGTGCATCAAGGAAATTAAAATGCCCTACATAAAGACAGACACAATAGAAGAGCTTGGAGATTCTGATTCCCCTGAATTTGAGACAATCTTCGTTGTGTCAGACTTCCAAGCTCCCATCTTCAGCAACCTCTGCAAGGCAGACTGCAGAGTCATCGGGCCACCAGTCGTGCTGCACTGTGCACAGAAAGGAGAGGTGGGTGCTTCCTGCTGAAATCACATGAGTTAGCTCCCCACTGCACTGAGTTCTAAGAGTTCACAGTAAAATCTTTCTTGCTCTTCCAATCAGTTATAAACATTCCTAGCAAGAGAATTTTGAGACAAGCAAGTTTCTGGTGCTGTGTTAGAATATTGCATGTAATGAGAGTGCAGGCAGACAGGGGTAAGGGGACAAGTGTTGCTGGGCTTGCAAGGGTTCTTCAGGGGTGAAGATAGAGATGAGAATCTTGACTACATGATCAGAAGCCTGGATTTATTATTTTATTATATAAGTTACATTAAGACTATACTAAAAGGAATAGAGAGAGAAAAGAAAATGTCAAATCTAACATGTGGGAAAAGGTGAAGACATTATGTGTGATGATCATGAGAGTACTGGTGGCTTGGATAGTCTTAGGCTACACAGCAAGGCTCTTTTAAATGTTGAAATAAAAATAAATCTTAATAGCTCTTTTGATGTATAAGCTGAATCTATCCTAAGAATACAATAGGAATGAATAAACAAAGGAGCTCTCTCTGATTCTGTCCCAGAGAGCTTGGTCTTTGATTGGCCCTTAATTGTAAACATGCAACATGGGCCAATCACAGGTGCACCTGTTGCATTCCACAGCAGCAGGTAACCATTGTTTACATTCTTTCTCTGGGGCCTCAGCTTCCCAGAAGAAGGAAAAATCCTAAAGAAAGGATTTTTCACAAAAGATGTCTGTGACATCCAAGATCACCAGTTAGGATTGTGCCATTGGGAAAGGCAGCATACAAATGATTCTCCAGTAATCACTTTATATGTCCAAAGTTGTAATGTGGAGCAGATGGACCAGGGAGGAAATAAAAGGATGGAGTGCTACCTGTAGAACTTCAAGATGCTCTAGTTACTTTATCAGCAGGCCTGGAGCTAAGATATAACTGAATACACAGACCTGGACTAGTGTCTGATGCATTTTTAATACTAGAAATAACAGCAGTGTATTAAAGGTGATGTGAAAACTTTAATGGCTGCAGCATGCTGTTGACTCATGAGCTTTCCTCTTGTTTTCAGCCTTTACCTTTCTCCTGCCGTCCACTGTACTGTGCAAGTATGTTGAACTTGGTACTGTGCTTTACAGGATTCAGAAAGAAAGATGAGTTAGTAAGTAACACATTCTTCTTTGGATTGGTAAAACCATGTAAAGTATATTTTCAAGATACTCTTCTGTTCCATCACCCATAGGGTTTAACCACTCAGGCTTGTATGGGGAGAATGAATTGTTTGTTCTTTTGGGTTTTGCAAGTCCAGAGGCAGTGATATTTGAGGATGGGAACAAAACTTTGTTCAAGTCCTTTTGTCTGTCATTTTTGGTCACTTTTTGGTTGAGTGACATTAAGCTGCTCTAATACAATAGGGCTTAAGGGTCTGTAGTTTGAGGCTTCAGATAAGATGTTTACCCAGTAGTGTAAACATTTTTTTTGGTACATGTAGTAAAATAAACAAGTAAATCTCTGTAGCTCTGTTCAGAGCATTTGCAGGCATGTGATCTTGTCATGATATTGTGCTATCAGGACTTTACTCTTTGTTTGATACTCTAGCACGTGGCTTTTCCATTTCAGTAGGCAGTTGCCATCTAATTTCCCTACTGGACACCTGGGAATCAACAATATGGCTCCACATCTTCATCTGAAAAAAACCAAACCCAAACCAAAAGCCTTTGCTTGGTGTTGGGGTTAGTTAGGTTTGATCTAAATTGACTAAATCAGCAAGGAAAATGTCAAATCTAACATGTGGGAAAAGGTGAAGGCATTATGTGTGATGATCATGAGAGTACTGGTGGCTTGGATAGTCTTAGGCTACACAGCAAGGCTGTAATAAATGTTGAAATAAAAGTAAATCTTAATAGCTCTTTTGATGTATAAGCTGAATCTTCTGTCGATGTGAACAAGTTGTTTTAAGAACAGATCAGAGTATTTCTATTTCTAGGCCTTTAATGTAACCTTCTGTAACTTGCTTTGTAAACCACTTTTGTACTGAACTCGCTCTTCAAAAGATACTGAAAACTTTTCATCTTCATTTTTCAGGTTAAGCTTGTGACCTTGGTTCATCACATGGGTGGAATTATTAGAAGGGACTTTAGCTCAAAAGTTACTCATCTGGTGGCAAACTCAACACATGGAGACAAATTCAGAGTATGTAAGCTTGAGTTGGTGTTTCATAGCAATCTTTGGAATTTGGCTTTTGTAGACTGTTTGTTCTTTATACTTCAGCTCAGAAGCTGCTGCTTCTTCCTGTACTAACAGCAATAACTTGTAATAGTGAATTCATCTCAGTCTGGTGTTCAGCTTTGGCATGTTTGTGTCTCTGTGGGAGATCTAAATAACATAAATTTGAACCAGACAAGTATAGTAAATAACAAGATCCAAAATGATTAAATATTGATGGTACCAGTAGTAAAGACAATGATGAAAAAATGCCTGCTTCTGTCTATCCAAACAATAAACTCTGAGGTAACTTGTAGAAAACTTCATTCCTTAGTTGATGCATGACTTCTAAAAATTATTTAAAACTTGTTATGGGTGAGGATTCAAATATACCTTTATGCATAAATAGACATGAGTGTGCTTTTTCTTTTCTGATTCTAAAAGAGAATCACTTGGGACACTTATCTTAAGTTTAGAAGTAAATAACAGATTATAGATTTTTGTACTATTTAATATGATGTAGCAATGTCTATGCCTCTTGACTCTCCCTGGTTTGAATTCTTGGTAGGATGTTGCTTTTTTCTTTCTTTGTTTGTCTTTATAATCTTGTAGTTGGAAGAGAAGTCCTGCTTTCTGTTCAAACACTCCTTTCTGCCAACTCAAAGAAGAAAATGTAGGAAAACTGTACAATCTCTCAAGCAGTCATGGCAGTTACCTTTCAAATAGTCACTTTTTCTTTGATAAAAGCAGGATGGGGTATTTTTCTTCATACAAAGTATCAAAAGCAGAAAAAAGATCCCATATTCCGCTGGAACAGAGATTTGATTTTGTGGTTTTTTGAGTGATGAAGGATATCAGACTAACAAAATGGTGCACTTTTGAGGAAATGTCAAAATAGCTATTGATCTGATTTCCTAGTCCCTGAATTCATATGTTCTAACTCTGGGGAGCTGCAGTTGAATATGGCTTTTGAAGGAATAGATGCACTTTTTGCAGTATCTGTCTTGAAAAGTAAAAGGAAGGTTACAAATATTTCTTGATGTGGGAAAGATTTAAATGGAAATATTTGGTACAACTTATGCTTTTCCTGTTTTGTAGATTGCTGTAAGTCTTGGTATTCCTATCGTGAAAGCTGAGTGGATTTATAAGGCATGGGAGAAAAGGAATGAAATGTAGGTGTTTATTTTCCTTCAGCCTTCACTTTGCATCCTGTTCACCTGAAATGTTGTGGTCTTCTCCTTAAATATTGACATAAGCCACTTAAGTGACTTTTTTGTGCATTTTCTTTCTTTCAGTGATTTCTGTGCAGCTGATGATGATTTTAGAAACCAGTTCAAGGTTCCTCCCTTTCAGGACTGCATGCTAAGTTTCCTGGGATTCTCTGATGATGAGAAAGCTAACATGGAAGAAATGACAGAAATGCAAGGTGATTGTTTATGAAAACCTCTGGGAAGAGTGGGATGGAGTTTATGATGATAGATGCCACAGAACTGTTAAGTGAGATACTAATTTCTAACAAGAATCTTCTTTCCTGCTTATTTGCCTTTTTTTTTTTTTAATCTAGGAGGACATTATTTACCAGTTGGTGATGAAAGGTGTACACACTTGGTGGTTGAAGAAAGTACAGTAAAAGATCTTCCATTTGAACCTTTAAAAAAACTTTATGTTGTGAAGCAAGAGGTTAGTGCTGAAAATTCTTTAGAGAATGCTGCTATGTAGAACTGTGTGTTCTTCTTCTGAAAAAAATATCTTCCTTGCCTGTAGCCATGATATTTTCTGAAAAATCATTTCCTTAAGATTTTTTTCTCCTGAGAAGCTGAGAAGCTTCAAGAACAAAATGTAATCATGGTTTATCTGCTGCTGTAGAATGCAACAAGTAGATCTGTGATTGGTCTCATGTAGTTGTTTCTAATTAATGGCCAATCACAGTCCAGCTGCCCAGACTGTCTCAGTCACAAACCTTTGTTATCATTCCTTTTCTATTCTTAGCTAACCTTCTAATAAAATCCTTTCTTCTATTCTTTTAATATAATATATATCATAAAATATATATCAAGCTTTAATATAATATATATAATAAAATAATAAATCAAGCCTTCTGAAACATAAAATCAACATTCTTGTCTCTTCCCTCATCCTAAAACCCCTGAAAACACCACCACACTTGCCAACTGTGTAACTATTATTGGTTATTTTGAATATTTTTAACTTTGGGTAAATCTCTGTCATGTGTTTATAATGTGTGGGTTTTTTTTTTTTTTTTTTCTTTTCCTAGTGGTTTTGGGGAAGCATTCAAATGGATGCCAGAGCTGGAGAGTCCATGTATTTATTTGAGAAGGTATGTCGAACACTCACACAATTCACAGCATATTTTGGTGGTAAAATAGTGTGTGTGGGGCCAGAGATCAGATGTTTTAAAGCAGCATTTAAGTTCCAGGTAATCCATTATAAATTTTATACATAGAGTACTAATTTGGAATAGAAACTTTTTTTTTGCTTCCCAAAGTTTTACTTTTAGTCAAACAAAACTTGGTGGTTTTTATTTTAGAAAGGGAAACAAAAAGCTTCACCTGTTCTGCCTTGGCTTCCCTAAGAAGTTTCCTGCTGTGTTGTGTGTTGTCTCTGTGAGTCTCTGCACTGAGTTGAAGTGGACACAGAGGATAAAGCCCTGAATGAAGTTTTCTTTCCCTGCAGTCAGAGAGTCCCGATTTCAAGAAGTCGGTGTCGCTGCTGTCCCTGAGCACGCCCAACAGCAACCGCAAACGGCGCCGCTTGAAAGAGACTCTGGCCCAGCTGACCCGGGAAACAGACCTGTCCCCCTTCCCTCCTCGGAAACGCCCCTCAGCCGAACATTCCCTCTCCATTGGCTCCTTGCTGGATATTTCCAACACTCCAGAGTCAAGCACTGCCAATGGAGGTAGAGCTAAAACCTTCCATTCAGCCACACTCAGTGCTTAGCAGCTCTTGCATGCAAGTGGAAATGGTGGTGGTAGGGAAATCTTACAGGTTCTGCTACAGATTTGCAATGTAATTCCAGGCTTTTCCCTTTTCAAAGTGGGGAGGAAAAAGTTGGAGTGAAGAGTTCAGACACAAGAGGCCAAGCTGCCTCTTGTCATCACAGTAAGCGTGTTCATATCTGAAGGAATAGATGTGGAGGTGATAAATAGGGATACAGTTGAGTGTTAATCCACAGTGCTTGAAATACTCTGCTGGAAGTCTGTAGCAAATTAGCAGCATAGTCAACAGTAAATCATCTAAAATACTCTCCATAGGATACTTGGAAGAAAGAGGACGAAGATTCTTTTCTAGACGAGTTAAAGGGAAAATTCCTGCAGGGCCCACTCCAAGGTCTTTGAAATGTTCTGTTGAGGCTACACTATTTGTGCCAACAAACTGTCATGTCTAAAACTTCACAAGAATATAAATCAGCAATTGGTTTTGAGTGAATGGACAGAGTTTTAAATATCTACACGTGGTGCTTGTGAAGAGAGGAACTGCAAAATTTTGGGTTAGTTAAAAGCTGATACCACAAGTGATTTTTAACAGGTCATAGAGGAGTTATCTGGAGCTGCTACTGCTTCAAAAAGGCAAACTCAAATCACATAGGAGCTCCCAAAGAGGCACAACCTGTAAGTGATAATTCAGAAGGAATTCAGGGAAGATCAGCCTTCTTAGGTAATGCTAGTGCTCTTGTTACCCATGGTGGGGAATTTTCTTCTAATCCAACAGCAGCAGTCAGTCTCAAAACTTGCTGCTTGGAAACAACAGGTAAGGTATTTATTTCATTGTTAGCTATGGCAGTAGTGAGCTTTGATATAAAAAAAAGACATAGGTCTCTGAGATCCAAGACATGAGCAAACATTTAAAACTCATGAATTGTTCCAGGTCCACCTTTGCTTTAGCTTTAAGAGAAATTTACTTTTTTGAGCCTTTCTCCTTCCCTCTGTGGGAAGAAATGTAAGTGGTATGTGCAAGGGCTGATTTTAGTAAATGGTTTTGAGCTACACACTTAATGCAGGGATGGCAGGCAGCTGAGAGATAATTGTTTGCATGGCAAAGTGGAAGTAGAAAAGCACTTTTGTACTAGTATATAAATAAATAATGTTCAGCACCTAATCATGGCTTCCTGCTAAATAAGGAACTAATAATAGGGTCAAGTCATTGACCTGCCCATAAATGGCTTATTAGTTTCCATCTAATTTTGAGGAATAATGTATTACTGTTGTTCCATAAGTAGGCTGTAATAAAGAGCCATTTTCTTGGAAGAGCCCTGATAACTCTAGAATATAGCCTTTAAAAAAAAAATCCCATACTTATCTTCACTTAAAAATTCTGAAGTTTTTTCTTTTGTCTTTGAGGGTGATCTTTTTTTAGGGACTCTATTGTAATAAAGCTCTCTTTTCTTTTGGGGATATCTCTTCATCAGAAACACCAAAATCCTGTGCAAGACCTTCCAAAAACTCCACTCCTCTTCCTCTCAAGCAGTCTGCAAGATGGCAGGTTGCAAAAGAATTGTATCAGACAGAAAGTAACTATGTTGATATTCTGACAACAATTATTCAGGTAAGATGGCTTTAAAGCCAGTCCAGGTCAAATGTAATAAGATAGCCAATGTTTATATTGATTAATATTTTCAATCTGTGATCTGCAGGCTTTTGAGGGCTTGGGTGCATCAAAGCTTCATAGGAAAATGACAATATAAACAGTCTCATGTAATTTTACTGACATATAAAAATACTCAGGTTCAGGTTAGAAAATACAATTTCTAATCTGGGATCTGCAGGGGTATTGCAATATATATGGAAATTGGAAGTGTCAGGAAAATAAGATCTTATTGAGTAATATTTTAGATATTAGTGAATCAAGAGAGATGGCAGAGGGAAAAAAAAATCTTTTTTTTTAAGTTATCCCAAGAGGAGCAGAATAGCAAACGACTTACAGGAAGAGCTTAATTTCTTGAAAGTTTATTTCTATTGCAGCTGATTATCTCCTTAAAGAATGAGCCAAGATGTGTGTGAGTAGAAAGAGATGAGAGGGAGTTATGCTGTAGAGATGTATCAAACTAAGTGTTTGTATCTCCAAAACCCACTCTTGCTGAATGGAGACATCTCAAGATTGTGACTGCAGGAAATGATGATCCAAAAGGAAAATACTGTTGCTTTCATAGCTATTTCTAACACAATGTTGGGAGGACATTAACATTTTTTTATTAATTCATCAGTTGTTTCAAGTTCCTTTGGAGAAGGAAGGACAGCTTGGGGGACCAATCCTTGCACAGGAAGAGATCAAGACCATATTTGGCAGCATTCCAGATATTCTTGATGTGCACACTAAAATCAAGGCAAGCTGCACCTTCTCCCCTGCAGGGGAAGCTTTCATAGACACTTTGAATCTTTTCTGTGTGTTTTCAGTGTCTGTTGTGTAGGTATAAACTCTTCCTGGTGCTGATACACTCTTTCAAATAGTGGCATCTGCCTATTCCTGCAGCATTTCTCTGTTGGCTTTTAAAGCAGAGAGACTTGCAGGCTACCTGAAACGTGGTTGATTTGTTTGTACAGGTTTTGTTGTTTTTTTTTTCCAACCAGTGGGGTCCAGTCTGGTTAATCACACCAGCTATTGATGTGTGCCCACTGAGACAGAGATGAAAGCAGAGCTGTGTGTCCATGTGGCAAATTGAAGTCACTTGCAGCAGAGAGTTGCTTTGATGTAGTTGTGTTTTCCTTCATCTTTGGTGTTATAAAGATATGAGCAGTGGCAGCAACAAACCAATATTAGTGATAAATCCTTTCACTGAAGGTGAATCCTGAACCTTCAGCTGTGCCCTCCTGTCCCTCTTATTATCTGATGGTGATTGAGCTTGATCCTTATCAAGCTCATATAGGCTTAACAGGCTTGGTCTCACTTTCCTTGACACCCTGGTGTAGCAAGTAAGTGGAATCTATCCTAGTTCTATTTCAATCCTGTCTTATAGACTTAAGTCCTAGATAAGTTGTGCAGTCTTAATTAGAATTGGTTCAACTGTCTTCTGTGTATCCTTTCTCAGTATTCCTTTGGGATGTGTTGTGTATTGTGCTGGATGCAGCAGGGTCATCTTGCTGCAGAGCTGGCTAGTCCTGACATGCTGCCAAGCTGTACTTGCACTGATTTACAGCTATATATACATGTTCAGTAAGCCAGACATCTCTTGTTTTCAGCCCTCAGTAGGCTGAATGTGAAATTGTACAGCTTTTAGGATTGCCTGTTTTGTCAGCACAAAACCACACCTAATGATGTGTGTTTGGCAAAATAGTCATCCCATTTAATGGCTTTATGCACTTTATGCTCAGCTTGTTTTCTCCCCCCCATCCCTGCATGTATTCTAGGAAGATCTGGAAGATCTTATGATAAACTGGACTGAAAGCAAAAGTATTGGTGACATCATTCTCAAATATGTAAGTTCCTGTTTCTTTCTTTATGCTTACAACAATTATCTTGCCTTATGAACAATCCCCTTCTAAGATCTAACAAACACAAGCAAAGCACTGCTGAGAAAGAGCTCCAACTTGTATCATTGTCTTTTTTATTTAAACTTTTTAGTTGAGTTAAGTGATACAATCCTTGTCAAGTTTTAGTGTGTGTGTCTATTCACAGGTATGAAGGATTAAAACTATAAATAGCTACAGTTTGAGAACTGTAATTTGCAATGCTACAGACACACTTTTTACTCAGACATTAAAAGCCACTTCCCATGCCCTTAGCCATCTGCTGCCTCTGATCAATAGTAAAGAGCTAAGAAAATAACTTTTCACAAACTTATGCTCTTTCTTCAGGACTTGAAACATGTAAGTGAATAAGTAGTCCTGTGTAGAGCAGGAAGGCTAAGTCTGGGACTGCAAAGAATTTTAACATAAATAGGTGCTAGGTATCTTGTGATTATTTTGCTGATCTGATGATTTTGAGACAAATAGTGCTTGTCATTCAAAAGTTTTCAGTCTAAGGTGTTGCTTCTGGTGGTTTAAAAGGTGATTGCAGTCACTGGTGACAGTACCTGTCTGAAATTTCCAAAATTGTCACCAAAAGCCTCTTGCTAGGTGTCAACCTGCCTCCCACTTGAGCTGCTCAGCAGCTTTTAAGATTGTCATGTTTGCTTGATGCTGGTGAGAGCAGCCTGAGTTTAATCAGCAGCATCAATCTGGGGCATCTGGCATGCAAAAATGTCTTAACTTGCTCTGAGAACACGTATGGGTTTACAACACATTTTTTATTATTCTTTATTGCAATGTGCCTTTGAGCAGCTTTGTATGGCTCAGGGCATATGAACATATGTACAAGGATACATAATATGTAAAGCAGAGCCCTAACAGTTGTTTCTTTCAGTCAAAAGACTTGTTGAAAACATACCCTCCATTTGTGAATTTCTTTGAAATGAGCAAGGAGACGATTACAAGATGTGAAAAGCAGAAACCAAGGTTTCATGCCTTCCTAAAGGTAAGTGTCTGCAGAACTAACTCTATGGTAGAACATGGGGAGTGTTACCATGTTCTACTGAATGCAGTAGATGGAAGAATGTGAAATTTTGAAAGCTTGAAGAAATGCAAACACCTCTTGGTGAGACAGAAATAGGAAAGATTTGAACTTCAATCCCTCAAGCTCCTCAGAAGACCCTTTCAGAAAAAGTCTGAGTTCCTTCTCTGTTAAACAGCTTTCAAGTGGTTTGATTATATGCATTTGTTGCTGGAAAAAAGTTCCTCCCAAATACATCTCTTCTCTTTTCTGTGAAGATAACTGGAGCTGCTGCTTTGGCTGGTCCCCTCCCTGTGGACTTGTATTTCTGAAACAGCTTTTAACTTTCCTTGGGCAGCTGTGAAGCTCCAGGGAGGTAGAATTTCTCAGCATTCTTGTGACTAATGAATAGGAGCCCAACAGTGGAGATCTAACAGGAAAATGATCTTCAAAGAAAGTTATCTGAAGATGAGCCTTAAGACTCTTGATCTCTTCAGATATGTGTGTACTGTTAATAGTGCAGTGTTGCTTTAACTCCCATATCAAAACAGTCAAGTGTCAAACACTGACAGTTTCTTGTGTTTTCTGAGGAACTAGGAATTGCATCCAAGTATTGATATTTAAAAGATGGGGAACAAATAAGAGAACAGGTCATCCTCAGTCCCACTCCACATTAGCAGCTGGAACAAGAGCTGAAGGGTTGATATGGACCCTTTAAAAGTGGACATTCTGAGAATATAAATCACTGTGCTCTTTTGAATAGTGTGGTTTTTAACATGCTCTGTTAATGACTGTGGTAAACAATTCTCACACTTATATAGCAATGCTAATTTCAAGGAAGGGAATTTTTCTCTGATCTTATGTATGTGTGTAAAAAAAAAAAAGTAAACATTTTCTTTTCCCCAGATAAATCAAGCCAAACCTGAATGTGGCCGCCAAAGCCTCGCTGAGCTCCTTATCCGTCCTGTGCAAAGGCTGCCCAGTGTTGCCCTACTACTGAATGGTAACCTAGAGATAAACTAATAAAAATTATATCTGTGAAAGTGTTAAAACCACAAGATGTCTACCTTTTGTCATCATTAGAAACAGCTTTTCTCATCTAAACCAAGCCTGATTATGTGAGCTAACCATGACTCCTGGCAGTCAGTGAGACCCACTACTGAAGAAAGCATAAATTCTGTCTAAATTCCACTTGTTCATACATTTGTATGCAGGATACAGATAGAGGAACAGTTTGCACTGACAATTCTGTCTCTTCAAACAAGAACATAATTGAGATTCAAATGAAACTAACATAAACTAGAGAGCAATTCATATTGACAAGGCTCACAGTTTCATGTGTTCCACCTGGTATCAACCACTTGCTGTAATAATACTTTTGTTAATAAAGATAATAAAAAATCCACATCACCCTTTGCTTCAGGTGGAAAAAGACTTCTGTGCTTGTCTCTGCACCTCAATTTTTTTAATAGTTTAAGGGTTTGGTTTCTGTATTGTATGTGGTTTTTATTTCTTAATGAGATGTCTGGACAGCTTTGGTTCAGCCTAGTTCCCCATTTAATCAGTGCTACTTGGACTCTAGAGTAGATCTGATGTCTTCAATCAGCTTATCTTAACTCAGTTTAAGTTTGAGTTTTTCATGTTTCTTTTCAGGCACTTGTAATATGCATGGAGTTTGTATTTCTTTATTTTTTTTAATTGTAGATATTAAGAAGCATACAGCAGAAGAGAACCCAGATAAAATAACTCTAGAGAGAGCTATTGAATCATTAAAGGAGGTGATGACGTAAGTCATGTTGATTCTGTGGAACATACTGTTAAACATACTGCAGATACATCCCTCTGTTCCTCCTAAATTGTCAGTGTTATGTTGCCACAAGGAACAGTAAGTAAACATAACTGTAGGTGTTCTTCAGCCTCCTTTTGGCTGCTGTTGTCACTTTGGTATTCTGTGCCAGAGCTCTGAAGGAGTCTGTGACATTCCCCAGCACTTGTACCTGAACTTCTGCTGACCCCTTGCCTCAGCAGGAACTGTCCCCAGTCCCCTCTTCTGTTCCAACTCTTATTTTTATCTTTTCCCTCTGGAATGGAAGAACTGGGCTTTTTGTCTTTGAATCCTACTTCTATGCATATCTACTGAAAGGACAGACTTTTGGTGGGAGACTAGTTTTTCTTCTGGTGCTGTATTAGCTCTTCTTGGCACTGTTCCATGAGTTAATTAGCTGAAAGCTGAAGTTGTTTAGATTGTAAGTCTCACCTCTTTTGAAGTGTAGCGTATGTCTCCAGCAACAAGATCTCCTGCATTAATTGGGTAAATGTTTGTCCAGTTTTAACAACAACTTTTAAATTGTAATTATTCTTGGATCTGTGCCTTGGTGAGCTGCAGTCCTGATTTGGGGGAGACAAAATGCAGGCTGTAAAGAACTGAGTTGTGTCAGTCTCTGGTTCAAAATGTTGCATGGCAGAGGACGGGAATTCTATTTTTAATTGATTGGTGTGTCAAGTGCTGGTAACATGACAAGAATAGTGTTCTAGAGCTGAAGTTTCCTATGTGATTTCCTGTGGTATTTGTTCACTTCTTCAGGCCAATGTGGCAAGTGCTGCTGTGTAAATTCTATCCCTGAATGCTTAGCTTTATTATTTTTGTATGTCTAAAATGCATTGCATCCATTTACTGTTGCTTGCTATTGAAGGTTAATATAATATGCTTTCCTTAGACACATTAATGAAGACAAAAGAAAAACAGAGGCACAAAGGCAGTTCTTTGATGTTGTCTATGAAGTGGATGGATGTCCAGTAAGTAATTTCTCCAAAGCTGCAGATCTCTTACATGCCTGCAGTACTTTGTTCCCTTTGCAAAAATGTGTGAGGTTACAATGCAACAGTGCTGGTTTAAACAGATTGCCAGTGTTAAGCTGTAAGCAAGCAGTAATCCAGTCCTTGAACTAAATGCTTAATGAGCTTTTTGCTTTTGTCATTTAGGCCAATCTCCTGTCCTCCCACCGCAGCTTGGTGCAGCGTCTGGAAACTGTGGCACTTGGGGATGACATCTGTGACAGGGGAGAGCAGGTCACACTCTTTCTGTTCAATGATTGCCTAGAGGTAAGGTGATACCAGCACATCTCATGAACTGAACTGTAAAAGGCTTGACATTACACATGAATATAAATAAGTAGAATTTAAGACCTTTTGAGGCAGAATTCTAAGTCACAGATTGCTGATAGGTCAACACATGCTGATATTTCTTTTCCATTAACTACTGTATAAGCCTCTCATGGCTGAGAGGTGTTAATGTAGCCTTTTATGCCTTGCAGCCAGAGTAAAAACATAAAAGCAGATTAATATGTTCAAAAAATGTTTATCTGAATAGCACTTTGATTAGCACCAATGGATAAAGAAGTGCTGGAGTCTTTGGCTCATCAGGTTATTTTTCCTCTTTAAGTTTAGTTGTATATAATGGGAGTGAATAGTGGGCCTTGGTAGATCTGTCTGTTCTTAGGCTACCAAAAAACCAAAGTTGTAATATATCCCTTAAACTGAAAATATGTTAGGAAGAACTAGAGGGGAAGAATAATCTGACTGGGTTGTGGAGACTAATGTGGAAGAACTGAATTTATAAAGGACACTTTCATGTAAAGACTTCACTGTCTTCAGCAGTGAAGAACACTGTCTTCACAGAAGACCAACTCTAAAATAATTCAAAATTAGTGCTGTCCTAGGCAGCACTTAGAAAAGCCTGTTCTTGTGACTAGAGATGAACTCTCCCTGTTGAGTTGACTCAGTTTCATCATTTCTCAAAGGATGGAAAGGAAAATAAAACCACTTTTAATAAAGCTTCTTGGCTTGTCTCTTGGACAAGAGACAAATAAGATGCATTACTTTAGCACACAAGTACCTCACATGTTTTTATGCAGAGCCTGCTCAGTGGCTGCATGCATAAGCAACAGCAAGTGATATTTCTAGGACATAACACACCACACCTTATGTTGGTTCATGCATATAGATGTTGTCTTTTCTGTTTAAATCTAGACTACCTTGTGGTGGATTTCAAAGGGCCCTTTTTTGTTATGCAGGGTAGAATTGAGGTCTATAATGCAAAATTACTTCCTCTCTAAGTAGTTTTAAAAAATTCATTGTATTTTTCAGCTGAGTGTTTTGAGGCCAAGTAACAAACATTGTTGGGCCACTTGGGCTGTAGGCAGTGAATAGAGAGATAAGTGAATTCCTTTAAGATAATTCCTTTAAGATTTATGTGGTAGAGTAGCAAGATTTTCTGTGCCTGGTGTAAAAGGCAAAAAAGTTAAAAAATGTAGAAAGGAAAGGAAACAATGTCAAGAGCTCTTCCAACTGACCCTTTCTATTTTATTTAACCACAGATTGCGAGGAAACGACATAAAGTTATTGGAGCTTTCAAGAGTCCCCATGGCCACACAAGGCCTCCTGCATCTCTCAAGCATGTTGTTCTCATGCCTCTCTCCCAGATCAAGAAAGTCTTGGACATCAGGGAGACAGAAGGTGTGTGTGTTTTGAATACTCTGATAGCTAATTAAACTGTGTTTCAGGGTGTGAAGGAGGAAGCTCTGCTGTTGTGGGATGGAATGCTAAGGTGTATTTATTGTATGGTATGTTAGATATGTGATTTTAGTAAAAGCTTCTGTTTGAATCTCTGTAGGAGCTTGAGAATTCCTTGTACTGATGCCCTTTTGGCTTTTTGAGAATTGCTGCAGGATGCTGAATTTGGCAGAACTGATGGCATTAGCATAAGCCAACCAATTGGCAGTGTGAAATAAACAGAGTTAAACACTTGACAGCTCTGGATTTACAAAATAAAAACCAAACCTCAAACTTCAGCCCAGAGCATTAGGCTGGCCAGAGAAAAGTGCTGTTGGTGTGAAACCAAATTTTTTTCTAACTGGTGATGGTGATAATGCTCAGGAGAAGCTGTGCTTGGCATCTTAAAAGATGACTTAATTTCTGTCTTCTTTGCCGTACTGCTCCAGCATTGATAGTGACTTACAAAGACTCTAGTCACACCAGTTTCCAGATTTCTATCCTGGCAAGATCTGGTGTTTCACTGTGAGGATATGCACATCATGTGTTCTACTTTATGTACTCTGAAGCACCTGAACATAGAAACCAAATTAAGAAGAGAAATGGCAAAGAGGGTGGGTGAGGCTGATTGCTCTGCAGATTATTTGGTTGTTCAGCTATTGCCTGAACAGCTGATTGCAGCCTCTTGATGATGGCTGTGGACACAACTCTGCTCTTGCGAGTGACACAAGAGCTAGTGTGTAAATAAAGACAAAATCATCACACCAACTCATGTTGTCTCTAGTTCCCTCTGAATTAAATGAAAAAATATTATTCATTTTATTAACTCCATGCTTTTTCTTTTTTTAAACAAAATGTAGATTGCCAGAAAGCTTTTGCCTTAGTGGTGAGGCCACCTACAGAACTCAACAACAAGCTGCTCAGTTTCCAGATGACAACTGAAGACCCTTGCAAGGAGGACTGGCTGAAGATGCTGTGTCGGCACGTGGCCAACACGATTTGCAAAGCAGATGCAGTAAGTACTCTGGAACCAGGCTGCTGACTGAGACTTCTCCCTCTTTTTGGCTTTAAGCATTTAAAGTGAAAGAAGTTAATAGTGGACATGCCTGAGGTAAAGTAGAGCAGAAAACATTTGTGCTGACATGCCTGCAAGTGAGTGTTAAAAGGTAGAAAAGGAAACAGGCTGGAAGTTAGTTTGTGCAGAAGCTAAGCAGTGCTTAAAAATCAAAAATTATTTGTAATTAATTTGTGAGGGTGAAAAAGGTATGATTCAACTCTGCACTGCAGTTCTAACAAGAATTGTATTTAGCTTGCTTCTTTCACAGCTATCTTTGAATTTACAATCCCAGTGTTGTTGATCATTTGTGTTGGATTAACTCTGTTAGAGTTCTTTGCTCTACACCTTATCTCCACTATAATGCAAGAGACATGAAGCATCTTCCTCCCAGAGACAGAAATCTACAACCTTAAAACAAGGAAATAAAAAAACAGTGAAATAAAGGAGGCACTGGCCTTGTCTCACTTCTAGAAATTCAGTGTGTGGGCTTTCTATAGGCAGAAAACCACTAATCTGAGGAGTAGATCCTCTCCAATTACAGCAAGAGGCTTTCAGCTGATCTTTTAATTATGTAAAAGTCTATGCATATCACTCATCTCAATTTGCTGAAAATACGTGCAATACATACAGCTGAAGCTCCCAGAAATGCTTCATGTTCTGCATGTTTGGTTGTGATTTTTAAAGGCATGCTTGTTACAGGAGAGGTAATTAAGTCATGAAAACAGCATCTTAGTTTTATTTTTGTGTGTCTTGGGGTCTAGGGACTTAGGAATAAGAGAGTTGGGCTTTGTGGTTTCCCTTCCAGGTATTGAGTATGAAAAGTGCTGATGTGCAAGTGTTAATTTTCTTTAGTCTGTGTGTTGCCTATCTTCAATATTTTGTGTAACATATAACTTGGATTTTTAACAGGAATTACACCTTTGTGTAATAAATGTGTAGTTCCCTCTTGCCCCAAGACACTCAATCACATACTGACAAATTGTAACCTACTTTGCTGAATCCCATTAGTTATAATTTCTGTACCAACTATATAATACTTCTTTCTTGCTTATTTAAATGTCAAATTGAGCTTCAGTTTAAGCACTTTTGCCTGGTTTTATACTTCTAGAGCATCGTGTGAATGGAGATAACATTGACTTTGCCACCTGGTGGCAGCAAAGGCTTTGGCTACTCTTCCTTAGGCCCTAGGAATGGCAATAAAGCTGCTGACTGGGGTCCTTCTATTTTTTTTTTTTTAAGTGTAAAATGTGTTTTCTCAAAATGCAGACAACAAACAGCAAGAATCATCCCAGCAACTTCCCACTTCCATGTGTGCCCCCTCTGCCCCCCAGGCTTTGTAAGTAGGTAGGCAGAGATTGCTTTGCAATGCTGGAGTTTAAGAATGAGGCATGAAAAAACCCCAAAAACTCGTGGCTATTCTGCAATATGTATTGCACTGAAGCTGAAAGGATTTAGTCTTAATGTTTGACAGCTGCAGCTCTCAAGATTTCACTTCAGAAATGTGCTAGATGTGTCAGTGGAATAAAGCAATGTTTATCTTGGAAACTCCCTGGGGATGCCTCAGAACTACTGCCTTTAATTTGGTCAGCCCTGGACTTGAAACTGAATCAGACAAACTGAATGTGAAACTACTGATGAAGTGGTTTCACAAACTGATTGCACCAGCTGTTGATCTAACAGAATGGCTTGAAAACAAATAGCTGCTGGACTGTATAAAGAGTTAAATATGGAATATGCCTATTAAACCCTCTAAATCTGACCTAATGCACTAGAAAACTATATTTTTGCAAATGCTCATATTTGACCATTATTAAGACTATTTTTGTCTACAGGAAAATCTCATTTATGTTGCTGATCCTGATTCAGTTGAAGTAAATACTAAAGATATGGACAGTACTTTAAGCAGAGCATCCAGAGCAATAAAGAAAACATCAAAAAAGGTAAGATGGTGCTTTTTATCCAGAGAATTGTGCTGGGATTTCTCTTTCAGGTGGTTTGTAGTATTTACAGTAGTGACAGGAAAAACTTAATCTGAACTAAAACTCTTAAATATAATCTCCTTAAAGAAAGAAGGTGAGGGGTGTTTAAGGTTTTGAAATATCTGTATATATAGTCTTAAGTATTACAGTCATAAGTATTATGTAGTCATTTTTCAGTCTGCTATGGAACTTAGGCTGTTTAATACTTTGAGTCTTTTAAATATAATGCAAATTTGAGAAGCAACTTAAAAAAGGAGGGGAGGCCTGACTCTGCAGGGCTGAGGGATGTAAGGAAGCCTTGGTGACCAAACCTTGCTTTGACTCCTCCCTGAATCTCTGCCCTCCTCTCTCCCTCCTGTGTTGTCCTCATATTTGGACAGAATGAGAAGAGCAAGATGATGGGAAGCCCTTAGAAGTCAGATCACTTTAGATGTGGGTGTTTGGCTGGTTGTGATCCAACCACCAACACTTGATACACATCCCAGAGACTTTCAGAATGGCAGCCTGTATAATAGCAGTGATTACAGCCTGGTTTTAGTCAGTGTTTAACCACTTGCCAACCTCCTCAGGTCACAAGAGCCTTTTCGTTCTCCAAAACGCCCAAGCGAGCGCTGCGCAGGGCTCTGATGTCCCACAGCGCCACGGAAGGGCGGAGCCCCAGCTCCAGCGAGAGTTACATCGGCAGCCGCCTGACCAGCACCTCCTCCCTGGCGGTGAGTGAGCTGTGCCCCCGGGGAAGGCACCACCTCAGCATCACACTCCTTTGGTGGCTGCTGCCGCTCTCACTTTAGCGATTCCAACACCCACAGTGGGGAACAAATATTTTCAACTGCTTTCATAGGGATATTCTTTTCAAGAGCTGTTTAATGAGAAGCCTTGCTTCCTGAAAATGCAGAAAAATCTTGATGCACTAGAAACTGGGGGTTGCCTTACACATTTAAGTTGAAAAACCTCACCAGTCTTTTTTGCCCAGAATGGAATATGTTTCCTCTTTTGAGAGAGTGAGAAAGTTTCAACACAAGTCTTGTATTGGTTCATGCTTTTGGTTTTGAACACTAAGTAGGAATGTGGTGCACAACCCTGAATAGTGTGGTGACTGTTTCAGTCAAAGTAGTGAGATGACAGACATCCTGTGAAACAAACTGGGAAGGAAGGGTAGAGAAACATAGATGCTGCAGCCTGCAAGTTTGTAAACAGCAAGGGAATTATCTCCTCGTAAATGTTTAAGAAAACTTGGTAAAATAAAATATTGTTCTACATATTGCAACTCCTCTGCTATGCCCTGGCTGCCTGTTACAGCTTTCTCCTGCTGCATTAGGCCAAACTCAATTTCTTAATACAGTCTAGTAAAGCAGACTAGATTTGGAGGAATCTGTTTATCATCTTTGCTTTTTATTATAGTGCTTGAGTAAATTGGATGAGTAAACACCTACTGTCTAGTCTGTAGTATGTGGGACAGAAGGCCAAAAAAAGGGAATCCTTTTCATCTTTCTATTACTGCCTGATGTGTCAGTACTTCAATATTGAGGTAATTCAGTATGTTTGAGTGGCCATTAAATTGTACAACATAAAGATAGAGCCCTGATCTCCCACATGAGAAAATATGAAGCAGTAAGGGAGGAAGTATCACAGCACACTCTCTTGCTTTAGAGGAAATAAAAAAAAATCATCTACCAATGGGGCTATAGCCTAGTTTCCTGTAGAGAGACTTTCTTCCTTCTCTTATGATTATGGCAACAATTGTGTTTGCTTTCTAATTGTCTTCATTTTGATACAGCACTGTATCTCATTTCTCATGAACTTACAAGTTATGTACTTTTCATTTTGTGCATATCTACCCCAGACAAAAATACTTGTTTTCCACAAAATCTTAGAAACTTGCAAAATCATGTTCCTATTTCAGATTCTTCCCAGACCTCTTGCACCTGTGGTAATAAGCTGCAGCTTGGCAGCAGATGATGTGTTGTGATTTTTTAACCAACGCCACACACCACTGAACTTGCATAAAGCCTTTTTGGTTCAATTATATGGTTGAGGGGAAAAGAGGTTTGGATTCCAGCCCCTCAAGTTGGAATACCAGTGCAATTGTTGATAGGAAACTAAAACTGCAGGAAACCTGTCTGAGTCCATTAAGAGTCAAAGCTGTTATTCAGACATATGGTTTTATTTAAATTAAATCTTAGCCTACACTTATGTAGGAATTTTCTAGTGCAGAAAAAAACCATAGAGTAAAAATATCAATAAATCTTGGATACTTGAGGGTTTTTTTCTTGTTTGAACTAACTCTTAAATCCCTCCTAATTGTAGATTGCTCGTTCCTCTTCCACGTGCAGCCTAAGTGGATCTGCCAAGTGTGCTGTTAATGTCCATCGCTCCAGTTCTGTTGATTGGAGCTCTCAAAGCTCCAAGCCTCGACCTGTGCTGTGTCCTGGCTCTCCAAATACTCATCTTCCAAATGCTCTAGAAGCAAAAGCTTCTTCCAACTTGGAAAGCTTAAATGGTCATGCCTTGGACAGACCATGTGCTTTCCCTGTTGTTTCTACCACCTGTGCTGATGCTGGAGGTGATAACCAGCGTGGTGCTGGGAAATTCTGTGCATCACATCCTGACTGAAGTGAGCAAGGAATCCTGAGTGCTGTAAGCTAAGAGAGCATGGCACAGCTCTAATGCACAGAGGGCTTCAAGTGGTGTTGGGTTCTTCTTAACATCCTCTAATGCACAGGGTTGTTCTTTAACATCCTCTAATGCACAGCACTCACATGTGGTTCTGGTTCTGGGTGCAAACTTATTTTTTCACAAACTTTTAAATGTGTTTTTCTTTTAGTTGATTTACAGTTGAATTCCTCACTGTTTCAGGCCGTGTAAATCACTGGCCAGAGTTCTGAGAGCTTTAATAACTTGGTTGCAAGGAAGTCTTGAGCAGCTCATTTTACCTGTGGTTTTAGTTTTTTATTCTCTATCTGTAAATAAAAAAAACCCTGGTATAAAATACTCAAGCCTAATAAGAGCTGCTCTATAGAGAGGAATTTAGGGTTAAATTTTCAGATATTGCCAATGACTTCAAATGGAGGACATGCCATAAACAAGCATAGGGCTTGTTCACAGTAAAGTGTGTATTCCCTTTCTTGCCCAAAATATGTTTAAAAGATTCTTGGAGCATGCAGGTGCACATGCTGCCCAACTACCGTGACCTGTTGATGTGCTGAGAAGCTTGGCTGGCTGTTTAAGAGCAACAGAGGATTGCTTGTGCAAGTATCTTGAGGTCTAATGTGAAAAGAATATAAAATCTCAGCTAATCCAAAGAGGTTTACTTTTAGTGCTACATATTGATGTGTTGGTTTCACAGTAATTAAGTCTCAGAAGCAGCTTATTCTCCAAGCATCAGAAAAGTCAGCTTCTTGCCTAGTGTGTGCCCATCCAGGCACAGCTGAAGCAAGCTCTGACAAATCACTGGGATGTCTGTTGCCTCCTGCAGCCAAGGAGACATGTGTTCAGCATCTCATTTGGGGCTCAGAGCTGATGATTATACAGAAAGTTGCAGGATTGGAGGGGGAGCTCTGTTTCTCTAAGAGATTATCATAGTGTATCTTGCCTTCATTTTGGAGGGAGATTACTGCAAAAAGTGATGCAAGATGTATACTAATACTTGTTAACAGCCACTCTTCAAAAACACGTTCTTGCATTCCAAATCTCTCAAGACTGGTAATAAGGAAAAAAAAATTATTTTCTGCAGTTTTTAAAATGTGTTAAGTTCAAACTCTAGAAATGCTGAATCAGTAATTTCAAAAGCTGCCAATCTTTGACATCTGCACTCACACATTCCTTGTATGAGATGTGAAGGTTGAGAAATGACTGCTGCACTATTGAGATTCATATATGATCAATAACATTTTTTTTTTTTGTCCAACAGGGTGTTCATTCTCCTTCCTTGGTCAGCCTTCCCTCGATCTTTGAAAAGAGGAGTCACACATTAAGCCGATCCACAACCCACCTGGTGTGAGGCAGGTGGGGCAGGCTCTGCTCTGTGGCAGTGACTGACAGGCAGTGACTGTGACTGACATTTCTGGTACCTTAGTCATTAGCACTTAGCCATGATTAGCAAAATGTTAGATGACGCTAAGTTAATCACAAGGGGGGTTTAGTTGTGTTGGAGCAGACCAGCCAATCAGTGGAGTAAGTGACTTGGCCTTCATTTGAACACAGTATTCCCTTGTACAGATTTATTTCCTTACCAGCATAACTGAAACATTTTCTTCTATGGAAATTGTCCCCTCCAGGCAATAAACTGGTTTGTCAGATCTTGAAATGAAGATGATGATCACATAATTTACTGCTAGTTTGGATGACTCTTATGCTTGCCTAACTTCATCTACTGGCAGAGCACTCTAATGTTTGGATTGTGGATTTCTTAAATGGAGAAACATTATGAAGTACCTGACCTTTCAAGTATGACAGTTAACCTGTTGTACAGCTGCTTATTCCAGATATTTTATAAATGTAGTTGTTTATAATTAAATAGAATTGAGTTTTGTGATTTTGATCTCCTGCAGCCTCACTGTAAACACAGTGGTATGAGGAGCTTTGACCATCAGAAATGATCAATTGAATTCTTTGTCTTGCTTTGAAGTGGAAGTCTGAGGAAAAGAATTGCACTCCTCTTTAGTAGGGTTGTTAAAAAACCAAACCCCCACACATTCCCCATACTTGGTTAACAAATCATTATTTAATGCATAGGATTCTTGGTGTGACATCGGAACTTCAGGGTCCAATTTTGGCATGTCAAATTTCAGTGTACAACTCCTAAGGCTTTTAGGCTTCCTCATGTATTTATGTCTTCCTTTAAAACTATGTTCACTTCTGTCATCTCTGAACAGTTTGTACCCTGCAATGCACTCTCACAAACTATCTGAATATGTAAATTTCTGCATTTCATTAACAGTTCAACTGTTGGTATTAGCAGGAGTTCACAGCTTCTGGTTTCTTTTTAACCACCTGTGTTTTGTCTTGTATCTATATGTAACTAGTGATGCTTTTGAATGTGTCAGACTGCACTGTTTTTTATATCTCTTTATCAATCTGAGCAATGTAAATAAACTGTTTAAAATAACACTGCTTCTGGCTTTGCTAAACAAGCTTTTATGAAAGTTTACTTTTTTATGTGGGGAAAAAAAGGCATTTTTGGGCTCCAGCCTACAACTGTACTCTGATTGTCCATGTAGTTATTCCTAATAAAGTATGCCACTTGATAGGCCTGAATATTTTTTTGTTTTATCTTAATATATTCATGAATCTCCCCTGGATCTATGTGTCCAGTCCATGATTTGGGTGGGTTGTTTTTGGTTTTTTTTCTTGGTCCTTGTCCATTCAGAATAAGCACCTGAGCTGACTGTGCACAGACACTTCTATCATAAAGTGGCTCTAGAAAATAAACTATTCAATAAACACTATGCCAAAAATCCAACAACAGTTCTTGGTTTCTGTTTCTTTTGTTATTTTTGGAAGACCATCTTCAGCCTGGTAACTTCTGTACAAACTCACAGCACTATCAGCCTCTCAGTGTTTAGTCCTGCTCTTCAGTTGCGACACTTTGTAATGGAGGGACCAGTTTTGCCCAGACTTGCTAACTCCTGGAGAAGCAGGAGGGCTATACCAGCTTTTGGTGTGACTTTATCCACTCCTACATTGTGGATGCATTAACTTAACCTGTTATGTCAAGTTTCAGCAAGAGCTGCTTCTACTTTTGTGAAAAAATAAGTGCACTGTTAACAAATGTTGGGGTCTACTCAGTATTTCTCTTGATGGAGAGTGTTTTGCAGCTGAAACAGCAACAAAATCTTGAGTAAGATGACAGAATAGGCTGGGAGGTGGAAATAACCTTGCTGAGTTAAAAAGGTGATCCAGAGTAACAGAAACAAGCCAAAATAAGGAATTTTTACAAATGAGAAGTTTGCCCCACCTTTTCCATTTTCAATGTTAGAGGTACTTGTAGCATTGGAATAAGTATATAATTTTGGAGGGTATTTTGGCTGGTGTACTTTGAAATCTGAAGTGAGACTGCTTCCCCAAACCGGAATTTTAAACAATATTTTTTTACCATCTCAGTCCATGGGATGTGACTTATTGGGTAGCAGTAAGCATCTGGATCTGTAAAACACCTAGCTTCAGTCATGATACAGACACTTCACATCTCCTGAATAATTTTTTAAACTTCATATTCAGGCAGTTTTGTAGAATTCAGTACAATTTCCAAAGTCCTTTTGTTGAGATTTCTGAATTGTAAGACTATAAGATCTGTTCTGCAACTCTTTTAAGGAAAAAAAAATGGGATAAAAAGGACATTTCTTTCTAATATCTCTGTGCTATAGTGTCAGCCAACGCATGTTCAACATACAGAATTTTGTCATTCAGAAAAACTGGAATTCTGAAGCGAAGGTCAAAAGATGGCTTTTGTTTAAAGCACATTTTTTGTGGGCTGTACAAAAACAGTTTAACGAGCTGCTCTCAATGCTACAAGAATCCTCTTAACCATTGCTCTAAATTGGTAATTGAAGGACAGCTGCCAAAGGAAAAGGTCATTTTTGGGTGGGTGTTTGGTGGCGTGGTGTTTAAGGAAGCAAGAGCTTGTTTGCTTGCTTAAAAACATTAGAAGAGCCCCAAGAAGAGACTGGAGGAAGTTGGGGCGTAGAATTCATAAATGTACACTCACAAACTATTAAAGCATTAATGGTTAATCTTTTTACAGACTGTTGCTCAGAGGGAAAAGGTGGAGATCTCACAGCTGCTCGAGAGCATCTGTTTGCAGATTTGTTGTAGATTCAACAGGACAGCTTGACCTGTGCTTTGCAGAGACAGTAGCTGCTGTTTCAAACTCCTCTGCGAGATGGATGTTTACAGCTCTGAAAGCCAGCCCTCAGAGACAAAGAGGGGCAGCTAGAATGTACTTTAAAACACAAAAGCTTTTGAAAGCTGGAATCGCTGGCTGGGGGTGAAGGCAAGCTGGTGCCACGTTCTTTGCCTTGGGACCGGTTTTAAGCGCAGAGCCAGAAACCCGCCCGCTCCCAGCAGCGAGGAGAGCCGAAATGGAAACGGGAACGCCATGAAAACAAACTAATTAAACATGTAGCGAAATAGATGTCACTCTGTCAGATGTAAGGCAAACAACAGCAATGTTTTGTTAAAAACATTACCGCTACTGAGGGCAGAATTTTCAGCTGGCACGGAGTATCCTGTCAGCCTCTATACAAGTGCAACCAGGCCTTTGTCTACTTAATTTAGGCAGTTAGAAGTGCAATTACCACCCTACCTGCAAACTGTAATTAGTTTAAGCTGTGTTGGTGTTGATGCCTTTATCAGCTGATCCATACACTGACACTGGCTTCAAGACAGAGCCTGACTGTTGTGGGAGCTACCCTCTGTTTAGTAAGTTATTATATATAAAAATATATGTATGTGTTTGTGTATTTAGATGAACAAAATGTTCTTACACAGATTTATGAAGTAGCCTTTTATTTTTACCCCCTGTAGGGAGGCCTAGTGTATGTACTTTATATGAGTGAAATGAAGGAATTAATGTTCTGATATTTATACTAACATGGGTAAAAAGAGGAGAACCTCTACACCTCATTCCCCCTCTTCCCCCAGCTCCTCAATGTCTTTAAGGGCTGAAGAAGAAGAGGCTCTTGGCCTAATGCTGGAGTGCCCAGTTTTGCTGCCCAGTCTCAGGAGTGCTGTAGAGCCCATCCTGGCTTAGGGGAAGTAAAATCTTGCACCTACCAAAGCCCAGGAACAGGTTGTGTTCTGCTGCTCCTGCTCAGGTTTCTCTGGCAGCTCTGAAGATCAAGTAAAATAGGATTTTTACACTTCTCTCACCTCCTTCTCCATCCAAAATGCAACAGCCTGGTAAGTACACTATCAATTTTTTAATGGATTCTTTAAAATGGAGTTGAGTGGAATATAGACAGTGATGCCTGAGCTCTTGGAGATTTTGAGTTGTGCACAGTTAACAAAGGTAATGCTTATTAATGTTTATTTGTCAGTGTCTGGATATGCCAACTGCCTCTTGTAAATACTCAACTTGTGTCTTCACCCAAACCATCAGTGATGCAGTGGTTGTGTTGGATTGTGAACTCCTACACACTTTTCAGTGGTTTCTCCAATGTTTCAGCCTGGAGGGAATGTAAATATAAGCATAAATGCTTTTGAAAGTGTGCCTTTTTTCTGTGTTTCAATGGCTCATGCATTAGAGTTGGTATGGCTGACAAATCAGCACTGATTGCTAATTAAAAAGTGGAATATATTAAAGGAATTTCACACTTCCACTTCTGCCTCCAATTGAAACCCTGGCTGTATTAGTGTGTGCTGGGGAAGCTCTAATGGATACAGTCTAATTACTTGCCATTTTTGCTTTGACTTAACAGTTCATGAATTACAGTAACTCTGACTAACAGATCACTGCTGATTACTAATTAAATGGCAGAATTTGGTTTTATGCACCTCCAGCTATTTCCCCCACAAAAAGTGACATTCCACATCCTAACAGAAAAAGCTTTTCCTCTGCTTGTTTGTTGATGTGTAAAAGCTGATGTTACTGTCCCTTTGGAAAAGCAAAGTTCTTTGGGCACATTTAACAATAGCAGTTGATAAATACATTTCAAAAGTAAAGTTGCTGCTACGCTGCTATGAACGAGGCTTTGGGGGAAAAGTGTTCAAGGCAGCTGTGCTGTTTTTGGCGGGGGCAGGGTTAATTCTTTTTACTGTATCTGATGCGTGGCTGTGCTTTGGATTTGGGCTGGGAGCACTGTGGATAACTCAGGGAGGTTTTGGATATGGCTGAGCAGGGCTTACACAGAGCCCACAGAGCTGAGACCTTTTCTGCTCCTCACCTCAACCCCACCAGCCAGGGGGATGCACAAGGATTTGGGAGGAGACAGAGCCAGGTTAGCTGACCCCAGTGACCCAAGGGATATTCCAGACTGTGTGATGCTGTGCTCAGCATAAAACTGGGGAAGAAGAAGGAAGTGGGAATGTTCAG